TTTTCATTCATGCAGCAAAATATTAGATCTCCACCTCTCTGAAGCCTCCTTTACCCTGTATCACTGGAAATCAAATGGAACATAATCTTCCACAACATGGCTTGTTAGCCCATCTTGTCTTCTCATCTTTCTACTTATGAGGTGAAGTCCCACATGATACCCTAGTGTGTCAGTGACAATAGATAATGGTCCATGGCGAAACATACAAAAATGGAAAAGTACTGTTCAGCATGGGTTGTGAGAACATAACTTTGAAAATAAGGGAGTTAACACCACTGCTAGCGAAAGGCAGTCCCATACCTGTAGACATCTGTGCACACGTTGGCCATGTGTGCACTGATGTTGTAACTGGTAATTTTCCACTACAGCCCGAGGCAAGATACAAGGACCTCTGCAGGCACAGACAGGTGAGAAGGCCAGATGCGCATCTTGACTGGGGGGATGCCCTGACAACACACTCCCTACCACTGCTGCAACCGGGCAACACATTCCATCTCCTCGGCAGTATCCCATTCAACCAGGGGTTGGTATGCATGTAACCTGATTCGCATTTATAGATATAAAAATATATATATATTTGCTTTGCAATAAATAGACTAGAGCATTTATTTATCTAGTGTTTGGTGTCCAGTCTTTGTACATGGGAATCATACAAACCCGGGAAACCTCAGGAATCACAAAATTGAACTACCCAGCTCTTACAGCTCTCTTGTCAGTAGAGAGCTTTTGCCCCTCAAAGGACTATGCACAACGCAATGACCTTAAAACCCTAAATCATAGACCACAGAATGATTTGGAAGGTACCTTAACGTTCATTCAGTTCCAGCCTGCTGCCATGGGCAGGGACACCTTCCACTAGATCAGGTTGCTCCAAGCCCCATCCAACCTGGCCTTGAACACTGCCAGGGATGGGGCAGCCACAGCTTCTCTGGGCACCCTGTGCCAGTGCCACACCACCCTCACAGGAAAGAACTTCTGCCTAAGAGCTCATCTCAATCTCCCCTCTGTCAGGTTAAAGCCATTCCCCTTTGTCCTGTCCATACAGGCATTTGTCTGAAGTCCCTCTCCAGATCTCTTGTAGGCCCCTTAACCTGCATTTTGATTTTCTGCCATTAGAGAAAAAAAATTATAAATCAGCAAAAATAATGTTTATTACAAATAAGAGGACTCTCAGAAATGAGCTCAATCATTTATCCTAATTGACACTTCCAGTCCTTGTCAGTTCATTACATACTGGTAGCCTGGTAAATATCCTCTTCCACAGTTTCAACATTGCATCTAGCTCCCTGTAATCAGAAGCACATATTTTGGCAGAGATTTAACAAGATAAATGCACAGTTCTGTTATTGAGGCTACTGTGAAGTTTTATAAATTAGTGCTTTCCTGGTAGCTATGAAATGCAAAATATGTATTCAGCAAGCACATGACTACATACTTGATCAGAGATACAGCAATTGCTTCAAGTATTTCATCAAAGTACTATGTCTATTGGGAGTTTATGTCTACTCAGGAAAACTTTTTTTCACACGCCCAGTGGTAGAAAATAAAGTTTCTTGCTAGGCAGGTATTTATCCCAGTCATACTCTTGTTACTGAGAACAAACACTGGCAGGAATGCCTTTAATGTATTCTTCCATAAGGAAAGATCTCAGCAGGTACCAAGATCAAGGTTTAATAAGAACTATAAAAGTTTTGGGTCACTTCTACAGGTAATTCTTGCTTGCCTGTTTTTTAACATGAAAAGAGCAAACAGACAACTGTTAAGAAGATAAATTCTATAATATTCTGTGCTGTTCTGCAATGAAAGACAAACTAGTCTTACCACAGACATTACTGATCTATTCTAGAGAGACACTTCCAACTTTCCACATAATGTATGTCCCATAACTGGCTGGTATGAATAGATAATCAACAGAGCACACTCAGAACAATTTGCAATTTTTTCAAATGCATATACCAATAAACACAATTCTGCCCACTATGGATGCCCAAAATTATAAGGATATATTGCAGACAACACACTTAAATTCTCCAAGTGATGTTTCTGTAAATGTAGAATTTTCAATCTTTTCAAATCTTGCAATGATATTTTGCTTTCTTTCGTCTTCTCAAGAGGCTTAGCCTTTAGAAGTTCTTTGTTTTCCACTCCTAATGATTAATGGATCAAATCTACTAAAACCCACTCTGCACCAGCACAATGTATTTTCTAACATACCATGCCAATGATAAATAGAAATAAGGTGCAGAAGCACAATGAAAAAAACCTGGATTTTGTTCAAGTCATTGTAGCTGGGCCCTCAACCAGAGCAAACTAATAGTAACATCTAACCCTCTATTTACTTCATCAAATTTTGGATAAAGCCCTGAATCTGTTATAAATTGGGAAGCTTAGTTTATCTCAGTATTTCTCCTGTGCAAAATGAGTGTGCAGAACATCTCCAGTATATATGAATTCTGCATAAGGCTTCCATGATGACGCTTGTATAGTCATGTGCAGCCAAACTGCATGAAAAATATTGAACTCTTAGTTCCTAAGTTTGATATCAAGTTTGATATCAGATTACAAGCAAAATAAATTTTTTTTTTCAAATAATAGAAGTTTTTACTCCAATTCTAATATGCCTTAATGAAAAGTACTTTATTACTTAAAAAAATACATAGATTTGGCACATTATATAAAAACCTGGTAAATAAATTTTTTCTGGTTCATGTCTTAGTAGTAATGACACTAACGAAACCCAAAATACAAAAGCAAGTTTAAGAATAACAAAGGATTCTTTCTTCCCATTCAACCAAAGGGAATACAGCTAAAAAGCAAATAATAAAATGCAAATTGTTGGTAAAAAAATAAAACTATTTACAATATATGCAAACTCTCCATGACCCCTTTTTCAAACAGATATACGCTATGTGCTTTTCCTAATTTTTTTTGGCCATTTAACCACGCAGTACTTGCAAACTGGCAGCAACTTTTATTTTTGTATTGTTTTTGGGGGTTTGTGGGTTTGGTTTTTTTGTTCTGGTTGGTTGGTTTTTAAACAAAATGGCCTTCCTATGCAATAATAATATTACTACTGAAGTTAAAAGCCTTTAATGACATACAGAGAAAGTTTTCCTCCCACTCCTTCATTTATCAGAGCATCTCATAGTAAAGAGGTGCCTCTGTGTATCCACAAGTGGTTGAAACAATTGTTTTATTTCTACTTCTCACTAACCAGTGGAAAGAGGAGAAAAACCTGTGTGAGCAACGGACCATTATTGATAAACATACCTGAGAATGCTCGAGTTTAAGTTTACTTCTTAGTCACAACTCTCAGAGGAAAATCTTTAGAGTGCTTTCCTTTCGAACAAGACCCCCACTACAACAATTCATGCCCACAATTTGGTATTTATAAGTTATGTTTACTTTCATATAAATAGGAAAGAAACCTGGAATTGTGTTCATTTCATCCACATAAACTTTGGCATTTCAGGAAATATGTATCAGGAAAAGACACATCAAATTTGGGTCATCTTCCCCCCTCTTACCTTTCACACAACAGCACATATCAGTAATATTAAAAAGACACACAATGCTGTACAGATATAGCTTAAATAATAAAGAGAATGCAGAAATTCAAGTGTCATATTGTTGGACACATAAGACCTCATGGTTCAGATACCAAATATTTTTCTGCAACTGTTTTATTTTGTAGTTATCTGCCAGAAACTCAAAATTGCTATGCAACTTCAGGGAAAAACAAAAAACCAAAACACACCCCCCCCCCAAACCCCAAAAAAACCAACACACCCAAAAAAAAACAAAGAAGAAAATTCTGGGGTACATCCCATCTCAGCTTCTGCTTGATCAACAGTTTAGATGTAAAAATGCTTAAGGCAACACTCAACTTTTAGAACTCAAAGCTTTTTACATAGTACATGATAGATGCCCCTTAACATTACCCTTTGCTGCTCATCCACACAGGCAGCAACACTGATTCCAGAGAAAAATGGACACAAATCATCATTCAGAGTGAGATGACTGTTAAAGAGCTTTAGAAATCTTGTTCAGAGGTAATTACACTTGGCTGAAACGTAAGTGGGAAAATTTTGCAGCTGCTAATAATCCACAAATAAAGAAATGCCAATAGCCTGAGACAGCACATTAAAGAGAGTTTAAAATTTGCTTTTTCAACTCTGTCCAAGGAGGGGATAATTGTTCTGAAACTGAGAACCAGGAATCAAGAAACAACATAAGATTTAAATGCTTCAACTATAAGGTAGGTTAGAGTGCAAAGCCCTAAACGCAGACCTAGCTGAAGCAGAACAGACTATGAACATGTCCAGTGACACATAATGAAGGCTTGCTGAACCACTCAAAATGCTTTTGAGGGAGCTACTATAGTAAGCCACATCCATCTTGTCTATCAAGCAAGATTTCCAGTCATGGATAGAGAACCACGGAATGGTTTGGGCTGGAAAGGACCTTAAAATCATCCAGTTCCAACCCCTCTGGCATGAGCAGGGACACCTCACACTTGACCAAGGCTCTGTCCAACCTGGCCTTGAACACTGCCAGGGATGGAGCATTTACGACTTCTTTGGGCAACCTGTTCCAGGGCCCTCACAGTAAAGGATTTTTTTCCTTACATCTAACATGAACTTCACCTGGTTAAGTTTAAACACATTACCCCTTGATCTAGCACTCCAGTTCCTGATGAAGAATCCCCAGTATGTACCCACATACTGAAAAGGGCATTAATACGGTTGTACTCCTCAGCCAATGCAGTCATCTTGTTAGCATGCTTTGAAAGTATTAAACTATTAAAAGCCAACCCTCAGAACACGGTATTTGGATAATCAACAAAATGCTATGAATGAATATATATATATATATGAAGTTACTGCTGCTGTTCATTACCTGATCTCTAATGAAACTACAGTGAGATGTTTAAATTATTAAAATGTGCCATTTCAGTCAGAAACTTTTACACAGAATCTGCATTAAGGTGTGTTACTTACCTGATACACATGGAATGCATTAGCAGCTTTGCCACGCAGAAAGACTGAGGGAATCCAAACATTAATAAGAGCACGGTTTGATCTGAGGAGAAAAGGAAAAAAATTATAATAGGGAAACATATTTATGTATACGAATTGGAAAGCAACTACCTCCAGTGATTCAGATAATGATCAGTGATCAACAAAGCAACTTAACGTTTCAAATGATTCCCATGAAGTATGAGGAAAACTGTAGTTCTGCCTGAACCTTTTACACTTGCTGTATCATAGCTATAACATAACTGATAAAGCCAAATGAAATAATTCCATTTGGTCCACAAAGCTCAGCAAAAAAATTGAGTTCATTAGAGTTACACAATTATAGAGAAACCATTTCCATCCACTCTTCACCTCCAAATTTCTGTGATTCAAAGACATGAGCTACATTTTCACCCCCTCATCCACAGAAAGCTCAATTCATTTGTCTGGAGTTCTTCTGTAGATGTAAGAGTCTACCACATTATGAATAGCATCTATCAAACCCAAAACAACAGAAACCAGGAACTTTCGGGTGCTTTGCTGGAATACCAAGACCTGGTGCACTGAAAAAGCCCTCCAAGGGCATCTTCATAAATCTAAACTCCTTATATTCAACATCATTAAAAACTATACTAGAGCATGGACTGTGCAGCTGTCCGTACTTTTTAACAGGGGAACACCACAGCTGAGAATTCAGTTACTGGAAATAATACAAGAAAAGAAAATTATTGCCTCTGCTTATTCTTCTTTCTCATAAAAACAGTACAAAGAGAAAAAAATGTATGCATTATGAAACTTACATCTCAAAATCTGACAGACTCTGATCTTCAGACGTTTGACTCAAATCTCCAGGGACCTGTATTTACAAAACAGAAATAATTCCAACACACTGGTTGTTATGCTTTCTGTTAAGAAAACATAATCTTATACGGAAATGACAATTCAACATTCAATTTTTTTAAAATGCCAATAAAAATTGTTACTGAGAAACAATAAAAGAAATAAACAGTTGTGAAACAGGATTATAAATACATCACCTTTGTGAATTCCTCATATTAGAAGGTGCTATAGTTTTGGAAAGAAACAAATTGGGGTTTGTAAAAGCATATAATTTTGAAAGGTATAGAAAACCCAGAAAAAAAGCATCCTTATTAGATGCCTTCAGAAACGAACTATGCTAAAACAAAGTACATTGTGAGTAAATAATTTATGGGAAAAGATGAAGTGCCTAAAACCTAGCAATCACTTTGGTTTACAACCAAATTCCATTCAGAAAAAGACATGCAATCATTTTCACTTTAGCTGTGTTCTTAAACATTCTATAGCTACAAAAGTCAGTAAAGATGGCAATAATGGACTAACACCTGCAGAGTCAAAAGTAGCAGTTGTGAGAAAACAAAACTGAAAGAACAATTAGAACTGAAACAGCAATAACCTTTTAGGTTACATTAAAACTAATTACACAAAAAGGATATCTTCTCTCCTTTAAACACCATAAAATGTAAAGTGTAACAGAGAATAGTGTGTTCTGATGAAAAAAAAATAAAAAGGATAAAATGGTGAACTTCCAGAGACAAGTTCTAAATTAAGTATTGGTTCAATGTATCTCTATAATGTATGTTCCAAGCATATTACTGGGTTTCAGGTTATTTTCTGCCTAAGAAACCTAGATATCTATTACTGCTTGTTGTAAAGCAGTAATATATACATATAATGTACAAATTATGTATTTATTCATTGCAAAGTAATATAAAATTTCTAAGGGAACTAAAGAAAATCTGCTCCCCGATGTCTTGACAGGCCAGCTGAAGACGTCCCAATACATAAGACAGAAGTGAATTTTGCCTTTGCAAGATCAGCTAAAACTAAGTCATTTCTGCCAGGCAATATAAAATAACTATGCAGAGCCAAGTCAGCTCCAGGGCACAGATACGGAATGCTGAACACCTCCACTATCCTTTCCTGGAGGAGTGAGGTGGAAATGACCTGCCTCACAATTACCACCATCAGCTGTTATCTGCTCACAACCCAGCACACAGCCTCGCTTCCCAGGGCTCTTATGCTAAGGAGCACACATTCTTCGGTCTTGCCTACAACCTGGGCACTCTCTGTGCATGTATCTGAAGTGGCAAATCCTACCACCAGATATATACTGTTATTTGAATTAAGTTCAGTGAAAGTTCTGCATAAACCCCTCAAAATCAGAGTGCAGATTTTGGAAATAAGAAAAAGGATTACATTAGAGAGCTCCGGTACTTATGTGGAAACAGACTGGTTACTGATTTTGAAATGGTCATTGAAGTGCTCTTCATTGTAATGCAAAACACAGTGACCAAGCCATCACATCAATGTACTTCCTCATACCCTTGAAAGCACATACTTTTTGTTTCAGTATTCCTCTGTTGCAGAAGTTCTGAAACCCAATAACTAGAAATTTGGACAATTCAGTTATACATTATAACCATTAAAATTGATTATCAGCATTAAAAGGAAAAGAGAAGACAGTGAAGAATCATGTAAGCTCTTTTTATAACAAACTAAATTATATGCTATTTTAATAATAAATATTAAGTCCTTGGCTGCTATTTTCAAACAAATCAAAGGAGGATCAAATATTCATAACCCACAGTTTCTGGTAGTTACACACTTCAAGTTTGAAAATTCTAATTCAAATCTACAGAAATTCTTTACTGTGAGGGTGGTGAGACACTGGTATGGGTTGCCCAAGGGAGTTGTGAATGCTCTGTCCCTGGCAGTGTTGAAGCCCAGGTTGGACAGAGCCTTGGGTGACATGGTTTAGTGGGAGGTGTCCCTGACCAAGGCAGGGGGGTTGGAACTGGATGATCTTAAGGTCCTTTCCAACCCAAACTATTCTATGATTCTACAAGTAATGGTCAGACTATCTGCAAAGAGTTTTGTTTACTTATATAGAATTCAAATGTATCCTTCTTAGGGTAATGCAATAGTCATTAGGACTATATTAAATTCTATTTTATTTTGGACATCACCAAATAATAACCACAAGCATTTAGCTAGTCCTTAAAAATATGGTAACACCCCCATGTCTTAAAAGTTCTAGGAATTAGTTTTCTCTCAGTATCTGACTCATTAAAATATGGTATCAATATCTACCTATTGGGTTAGGATATGGAGATACATAACAAGAGCTGCTGAACAGGGACATAAAGTCCAAAGTATCCGAGTAAGAAAATACAGCTATAATACATATGCCATTTATCATTTGTCATCACTTAACACAATGATGTGATTGTTTCCATCTAAAAGGCTGAAAACTATAGGTGAAATTCTGCTTCACTAATGCACACAGAACTATCAACCACTTTAGAGAAATGTTATGATAAAACAGGCATGAATGCTTCCAGTACAAACAAAAAAGTAAAGAGTAATAGCATGTAATCAGAAAACAGAAACTGTCAAAATATGTCTCCCTTAGAAAATGGACAACTATTAGGAATGTTCTTGATAACTCCTGCTTCTTCCCTGTTCATTTGTGAATTTGAACACGGTCTTTTAACAGAAAAAGCCCAAGTGAAGCAACAGTTGCTAGAAAACAATTTTATTGTCTGAATATATCTATTTTACATTCAATTCTGCTGAAGAGAATCAAACACTATCAAAATACCAAGTAAGGTGCTCTTGACAGATGTGTTATTACCTGTTAGTTCTTAGAAGCCACTATATATTTTGTTTCATCACACGTAAAGGATTTGAGCTCATTCCAGAGTGATGTTCTACACTGTAATAAGCAAAGACTTACCGGCCCTCTCAAATCTATTAGTTCTTGTCTCATCTGGGACACAAGAGCTTCTTTAGCCATCAGAGCCCGGTGCAGCCTCTCATTGAATTCAATCAGCTCCCCATGCATTTCGGCTACCTGGAAAACAAAGCCAGGACATAATTGCATTCTAAACTGAAAAAAAAAACAAACCAACCCCACATTATTTCTTACACATATATCAACATTTACATAATTTTTTTTTATTTTACCATGCTCTTTAAGTAGTGCATCTCATTACTAATGCATTAGTTTGAACTGACCATTAAGAACAGACACTTAGAATAATTTTGACTCATACCTTGAAATGTAGGTTTTGATACTGAATTCAATAGGACAAAAATGCAACTCTCTGTCCAGTTTTCTTTTCTTATCAAAAGAGATCCCACGGCAACTGGCTCCAATAAAACACCTCTCAACTTTTGTTTTCAGTTTAATTCACAAACACAGCACTCAACAGTTGCAAACTAATCACAGTATTTGAACTGGGAATAATGCAGAATGCACAAACTGCACTAAACTTTGTCAATAATTCATTAGTCATATGCTGCACTCTTACTTAGAGTTTTAATAGGACTGAAGCTAGAAGTCCATCCATCCCAGGCAAATCTGTGAGGGGTCAAAGGAATAAAAATAGCTCCAGTTACACTCACATAGCTCAAGTTGTGTAATTAGTATGGTCTGAAGTGTGGCCTCTTTGAACATGAAGTCAAGCTATGTTTTTGCTCTCCATTTTCGAGTCAAAGCATCAAGAAAGCATCAAATGATGCAATGTATTTATGGGAGTGAAGAAGGCTGGATGAATGACAAGGATGAAATGCATACCCATTTCTAAATGGTTATGTAAAGCAAACTAAGTTGGTTTCCTGCCAAGAGAAGCAAGAAACAATAAAGGTCAAATCAAGGTTAAAGATGATATTGAGCTCTTGCAATTTTTCTTACACAGAATTGAAATGTAAACCTATGGCATAGGGAAGAGCTCCAAAAGAACAAAGGCTCCCAAATAGCAAACATCTAAATAATAGCAGTAACATTATTTCATCAAGAGAATGTGGCAGGGAAACCAACAAGAACAGGGAGCAAGGCTAAAAGAAGCTTAATATATGCATTCAGCAAGATTTTTTAGCTACTACTATCGGATTATACTACAAAATTGAATGAAAGTTTCATTTCAAATATAATAGTTTCAACAATAAAAAGCATTTTTTATTATCATCATCATTATCACTGTTACTGTTATTATCACTATTATAAAGAGTAATAAATCAGCTTCAATTTAATGGTTTAGGGTTGTTCTGGGTTTTTCTTCTCAGGCGTTTCTGTTGCACTTAATCCCACCAGAAAAACTAATTTCCCAGACTTGTAATTAGACTCTTCATCAACTCCTGATAAAAATCAGAACATCAGGATTTCCACATTATCAATTCAGGATCCACTATGTATTCTTAACTCAATTATTAATTCAGCATCAGTCTTAATAAAAGGTTCTTGACATCAAACACTTGTTAGTAAGCTCATTTTGCCAAAACAAAAGATATCTAAATGCACATGAATTTCTGCATTATGACTAACATAGTAGGTCCTACCTAGCAAGCACTTTTGCTTCATACACTACAAACATCTATGCACCAAACAAAACCACCAACTTTACTAGAGAAAGTAATAATACACTTCCCTGTGTTTCACATACACAAAGATGTAGGATGCTACCAGATGAAAATTCACAGAAAAAAACCCTCGTGCTGACAGTTGGGTGATTGGTGATCAAAAGCAATACACAAATTTATGAATGGAATATAGTTCCCATATTTGATATTATGTTGGATTTTTGCAGTGCCTGTCTCAATCACAAGAACAAAATTCAGCTCTCTGTTGTAATACCTGACTGTCTTGTTTCTCTCTAATTTGGATGCTCTTGAAATAACTTTCTACTTGCAGAATCAATTAATATATAAATTCAACAACTCTCTCAAAACACTGGAAGTAATACAAAGATTTATAAGTGTCCCTAGCAAAGTTAAGAAATAAAAAGAGAACAGCAAATAAAACAGCAAATCACTGTTATATACTATCAGACAGATAAATTAGCAGGTTATGTTATTTGTGAAAATCACTTTTATTAGTAATTAAGTTACTTCAGTACTTTTTCTTGTCAAAGAAAAACGTATTATCATCACAGCAAGCCAAAAGGAGTAATGAGATACACTTGTGAATAACAATACTAATTTAGGTTCCTTTAAAATTTCCTGTATTAAGGTCTGCTAAAAACAATAAAGAGGTGTACTTATAATTAAATCCTTTCAGTTACATTTTATGTAACATCTTCCTTTTTTCATTCCACACAGAAGGTTAAGCAATAATTTTCCCTACAGGGACTACAATCTCCTTCACAGTTGTTTTTCTCCGTGGCAATATGTTTAAAGCAGACAATTACAGTACAACTGAGCTAAGGTTCCCTTGGCAAGATGATTGTTCAGATTTGGTCTTGGCCTATCACAAAACCTGAGTCAAGAGCCCAAATTCTTAGCATGAAGTTGAATTGAGGCTAGAGTAAAATACTGAGACTGCATGCTAACAGAACTCTAAAGACCTGTTGTCAAAGAAAATATAAGCCTGGTCCTGCTGCCTGGCAGCTACCACTGCAGCTATCCTGCCCTGCAGCACTGCAGCCATGAGCAGTCTCCAGGTAATGACACAGGTTAATATCACTTCTGCTCAGCAGGGGTCTAAGCTGCTCACATAAACCATGCTAGGGATGCTTCACTAAACAATACAATCTATCTTAGAAGGACATGCTTTTAGAGTAGAGAAACAGACTTTTAAGAACTTGCAACACAAACAATAAGGTTTTTTAACAGGGTGTTTTAACTGAAGAGTGTTGGTTTTTTTAATATAATTTGCAGCTAAAACTCACAAAAGTTTTTGCACAAACTATATCTCAATTAATGACTTTTTGTCAGGTATAGGCATCTTCGCCCCCCACATGTCACAAAATGCAAAATGACACATTTCCTAAGAAACTCTAGAGAGGAGCAACTTGTGCTTCTATTTGCTCTCAGATGGGTGTATTTTTCCCTTGAGAAGATGCCATTTTCAAAGATCAACATTATTCTACATTTTTCCCCAACAGAAATAAAGCCAAAGGTCTCCCAAAAGGAGCAGGTATCCTCGTTAATATTAATAATTTCATTCTGCTACAAGTGAAAACCAGTAAGTCTCAAAATGACAAACAGTTCAGGCAATTTCACTAATACACCCAGAAAATGCTTGGCCATTGCTTTCTTTTTCAAAACTTTCGTTTTGTATTCTCGATATCTCTTATCTGCAAGCAAGTTATTTGGTTCTAGGCAGACTCAAACATCCATTCAAGAATAGGACTGGGTTTTGGTTGTTACGATTTGGGTTCAGTTTTTCATTTTGTGATGTGGATTTTGGCTTGTTTGGGGCTCGTATGTACTATAGCTGTAGAAGGTAAGCAGAAGTCACAATTCATCAAAACCAGCAAGAAGAAAATAAGCTGTAGCTTTCAACTCAAAACACATGGGGAATTTTGCACACTGGTTGAAGTACATATTACAGTCCTTGTACTGTACCATGTACAGTACTAACCAGTGTTTACCAAGATTAATCCTGACATACCAAAGAGCACTAACACAATAGACAGGAAAAGCTCTCCTCTTTTAAGAGCTGTGCCTGGCAGGGAAAATGAAAGTCAGCAAAAGCAAAATCAGAGATAGAGGATAATGAGTTTAATAAAAGGGATAAACTAAGTGTTAATAAGAGGAATTAAAAAAAAACATGTCTCTAGCAGCTGCACCCTTATATGTATCCTTATAGCAAAAGCCAAAGCCAAGACAACAGATCTAAACCACTATTATCTTTCCCAAGATCCTTTTAATTTCTTATTTCACATCCAGAGGAAGGTTTCACCTCATCTGCTACGCTGAGACAGCTCTTCTGAACTGCAACTTATTATCCCTTTACTAGGATAATCTTCATGAGCTAACACAAAATACTTGAAATACACAAGCAGTATCCTCAAGGATAATCTGATATAAGCAATTTAATACAGACGCACAATTACAATCAGGAGACTACATCTGATAAGCATCCCATAGCCTGCCTCCAAGAAAACAAGACTTGCAACTAAATTGATATTATCAGATACTAAAAACCATGGACTCAAAAAAACGTCATTTTACATGCCAGAAAACATTACCTAATGTAAATCGCTGATGATTTTTTTTTGTTTTTCAATCAAATACTGACAGACTGATTTGTACCTAGCAGGCTTGACACCAGACCAGGTATTAACTGTTGTCCTGGGTTCAGCAGTAGCAGTCATTTTTCTCCTTTTAGTAGCTGGTGCAGTGCTGTGGTTTTGACTTTCAGCCTGGGAACAGAGGTGATAACACAAACGGTTTTAGTTCTGGCTCAGTAATGTTTAGTCTGACCAAGGACTTTTCTGAGTCTCATGCTCTGCCAGGGAGGAGGGGAAGCCGGGAGGAAGCAGAAACAGGACACCTGCCCCAAACTAACCAAAGAGGTATTCCATACCACAGCACGTCATGCCCAGTATATAAACTGGGGGCAGTTACCCAGAAGGGTTAGATCACTGCACGGTCAGGCTGGGTAACGGTCGGCGCGTGGTGAGCGGTTGTATTCTCTTCCCTCGTTATTTCTCCCTTATCATTATTATTCTTGGTGGCAGCAGCAGTGGTTTGTGTTATACCTTAGTTACTGGACTGTTCTTATCTCAACCTGTGGGAGTTACATTCTTTCAATTCTCCTCCCCATCCCTTCGGGATAGGGGGGGAGAAAGCAGGGACATCTCCCAGCCAGTGGGGGGGAGTGAGTGAGCAGCTGCGTGGTTCTGGGTTACCGGCTGGGCTTAAACCACAACAACTGTCCTTCCGCAACTCACATTTATCCAACCACAAAGGCGCAAGTCTTATACTGTATGCTTTAGCTACACAAATGCAACCATGGTTCCATGCCTAAGCCAAACCAACTGGTGAGCTCAGCTGACTTGACAGCAACAGATCCAGCATTTATTAATGACTGTGGAACCACAAAAGCATAATAGAAATTTCTTTTCCTCCTCATCACAGTTTTCTCCCTGTTATCCCCCATACGCCATGTTGAGACTACAATAATAAAAAAGACTTCCCACCACATCAGACACATCTCTGGGCCCCAGCAGTCTTTCAAGCAGGCTGCTTGAAGTCACATCGATCTGTGGTTTCACTATTCCATAGATATTAATTTGCTGTCACTTATGCCTCTGTTCCTAAGCTTCTAACCTTCCTTTTCCCTTTAAATCATGATAACTTAACATGGTTAAGAAACACATCCATCAGTTGTTGCCATCCTTTATATGCACCTCTGTGTACGATGAATCTACAGTACAGAAATCTTCAGCAGTGATCAGAGGATCATGCATGGTATGCAGACACTACCAAAACTGCTATATCACCAAAATTCCTCACTTCAAGATCTTAATTCAAGACATAGTAAAGAAATTCACTACACTTTATTGTTACCTGTTACTCTGAACTGAGAGATAATTCTACAAAGATGCTGAGACCTTCTGGCAATGCTTCTAGTGATTTAAGATTCTGAGATTTTGTAGCAAGAAAACAAATAAAACTCATGTACTGCTTCATAAGCAAAGCCAAATTCTCTCATTTGAAAATCCTCCAATATTTAGAAACTTTCTTTAATTATCTTGTAGCATATGACTAAAAAAAAATCTTAGTACAAAATTAATCTGAGCAAAATTAACCCTTAAAAAATGACTGATTGAAAGGTTAAATATTTAAAAGTGCTTAAAAGCCACTTACCCAACTAAAAGTGATACATGCTAGAATTTTTTTCTTGTGTTTTTTTTGCTGACTCAAACAAAAAATCCCTCACCAGAGATTGAAGTCATTTGAGCACTCAAATAAAACTGAGATTAAAATTCAAAATCTAGAAGGCAGTTTGAGCAAAAATAGTAACATACTTTTGAGGCCTAAGGACGCAACTGGCCAATGAATTCCTTGTTCGAACAAGTGTCGTGGTTTAACCCCAGCCAGACAGCTTGTTACCCTCTCCCCCCCCTTCTTGCCCTCCCCCTACTCCTGGGGGAACGGAGAAGAGAATCAAAAAGAAATGCAACTCCCACGGGTTGAGATAAGAACAGTTTAGTAACTAAGGTATAACACAAATCACTACTGCTACCACCAATAATAGTAATGATAAAGGAGATAACAAGGGAAGGGAATACAACACCTCAGCACCAGGCGACCGATAACTCGCTCCCCCAGCCTGACCAAGCACCGACCGATACCTCCTCCAACCCTGCAGTCCACCTAGCCCTTCCGGCTAACTCCCAGTTCCCTCCTGGGCATGACGTGCTGTGGTATGGAATAACTCTTTGGTCAGTTTGGGTCAGGTGTCCTGTCTCTGCTTCCTCCCGGCTTCCCCTCCTCCCTGGCAGAGCATGAGGCTCACAAAGTCCTTGGCCAAACCAAAACATCATTTTTATCAGCTCTGTTCCCAGCCCGAAAGTCAAAACACAGCACTGCACCAGCTACCAAGAAGGAGAAAAATGACTGCTACTGCTAAACCCAGGACAGACAAGAGAGAACACAAGGAATGAAAATGCACATGATACTTCAGAATGGTAAAAGCTTGTTTTAACAGCCAAAATTACCTTTCACAGAGCAAAGTGATTCACATCTTGAGTTTACATGATCAACAAATGCACCTCCCACAACAGGAAAAGTTCCCCAGCCTCACATACCAACTGCTCAGAAATTGATTTGTCAGGCATAAAAATACAGCAGCACATGTACCACATGGAGTTACGTCTGTGAGATTTAGGAAAAGGTACATAGGTCTTTTTAATTTCATTATAAGGCAAACTGTAGCTTTCTATGAAACTTCACCTTAAAACCTGAGCAATTCCTAGTTAATTTATGAAGAGATGCTTATTGTTGCTACAAGGAAAACCTTGGAGAGTTAGAAATGATTATTTAACTGTCCAGTTTCTCTCCAACATTCCTGTAAGAATGTTTCTGCAGGGGAACAGAATCATAGAATCGCAGAATCACAGACTGGTTTGAGTCAGAAAGGACCTTAAGAACACCCACTTCCAATCTCCTGCCACAGGCAGGGACACTTTCCACTAGACCAGGTTGCTCCAAGCCCCATCCAACCCGGTTTTGAATGCTGCCAGGGATGGGGCATTAATAAGGGATTAATATAATGTGATACAAGTTTCAGTACATCAAAAGCCTGCTACTGTAGCAAAGTACACTACTCATTCAGTAGTCTGACAGGAATAGTCTATGCCAGGAAACCAGAAATTCAATGTCATTTATTGAGCCTTTAACAGAGCTCACCCATAATACTATTAAGCACATCATGGACATAACCTACAATTCAGCTTTGAGGAAATGCTGGTTAAAGTCCACCACTAAAATTACTCTTATAAAGAGAGGACAATATTACCAAAGGCTGAAACTGCAAAGAAAGTTATGTTCTCTCCAATGAGACGTTTGCTATTTCATTACTGCTCTACAGCCATGATGTTTTTAAACACACTTCGCTATGCATGGCTTGAGAGTTATATAAATCAACCTAATTTCTCTTCTAAAATAAAACAGCATTCTAGTCCCACAGCATATGACACTGGAAAACATATGGGACACCCCCAAACTGGGCGCTTAAAAGAAACTTTGGTGACTACATATATGTTTCACCGCTATTTCTAAGAAAATACAACATAAAGTTTATGCAGATTTATTACAAAAATTTTTCTACTACTGTTTTAAGCATAATGTTCAGTGAAAAGTTTCTTGAAGTTTCTTTTAGTCCTTCATAATTTTTAACTTTTCTTTATCTACTTGGTTAAATCAACTGATTTACTGATCATGAGTAAAGAACTTTAAAAAATACAAACTATTTTTACAAATACGGTAAAAACCTGAAAATTCTTTCAATATATTAAGAATAATTTTTTATGGAAAAACAGACACCCAAATTCTCTAATTACTCAGCAGAACCATTCCTTTTAGTCTCTTGACAGTTAGTTGTTTCTCTGTGAGAAGACTTCTATGTCCTGATCAGCTATCAAGAAATTTAAGGGAATTTTTGTCCTCAGTTAAAATGGTCTACTGGGGACACAATAACAGTTACCAAAACTGCTGAAGTCAGAACATTTTTCAGACTCAATTCTAGCTGAGTCAAACTGCCAGAACAACATTCAAGAGTGATTTCTACCCTAGTCCTAAACTTGGAACACGACACAGGCTATCCTTTGAAAGTAAGACTTCGCATCTTTTGTTTGTGCAGAGAAAAGGAGTAATGACAAATACACCTGGATTGTTACAGAGCTTACATCCCATTTTAAGTATGTGAAGACACTGTTACACTGTAGTTTAGTGAGACTAAGATGCAGACTTCCTCCTCTGGGTATGATTTGCAACCAGGTTTTCCTGGCTATATGCCCTGCTGTGCCATCAGAGCTGCTGCTAACACTCTCTGCCCCAAACTCAGAAGTGTTAGCAACAAATTCCTGAACATGCAGAAAATACTTAAAAGAACTAAGGAGGATGCTTTTAAAGCTGAAAAATATTTTATCTGTGGTCTTAATTAAGACAGTCTTTTGATAGGAAAAGAACAGGGGAAAGGAGTCAGAAGAACCCAGCCAAAGGTATGCATTAGGGAGATAATTAGTTTCACATGGTCCTATGAGAAAATGATAACCAAGTATGAATGTTTTAGAACTGTATTAGTCAATTTGATGCATGACCTGCATTTTTAGTCATCTTCATGTTAATCAGTTACTATGAGTAACCCATTTCAGAGTATTTTGAGCAAAAGAAAGACAGAGAATTGTTTTACTCTTTTATAAAAATGTTCATTTAATATTTGAGATATGGGTATTAGATATTAAATTTCATTACTTTTGTCTGGAAAATCATCTGTATTTAAATTTAGGATGAAACCCTAATCTTTCTTCCTTTAATTTTTTTTTCTTTAATGAATTTTATATTAAGTCTTAGAATTGAATCTTGCTTTAGGAACTTTTTCTAACATGGTCATATCCACAGAACTAGTAGCTTCCATCACCATTTCTATACTGCAGCATTCAATAAGCTATATGGTAAAGCAATACAAAAATGAAACACAGTTTGGCAATCAACAGCCACTAAGAAAACACAGAAGAAGCTACAGATTTCAGAATGTCCTCATTATAAAGCTCAACTGACACAACAGCAATGCCTGTAATTATGTACTGTAACTTACACAATACCTCAAACCTGCTTTCAGAGCTTCACCACCACCTGTTATAACCTTAAGGAATCCATTTATTAAAACCCTCATTTTAATATTGAAGTATAATGTGTACTCTTGTTAGGAAAAGTATTGTTAACTATCTGAATTGCTTTAAATCTTCTTTGAAGTTGAATTAACTCATTTGTATTTTAACCACAGAAGCCTGAAAATGAAATCTTCCTTCTCTTTTTTTCTTAAAAAATAATTAAAAGAAAAAAAAAGGTTTTTGTTTTACACTAATGGGGGAGGAGGGGAGCCAACAACTAAGCAAAGAAACTACAGCTTCAAATGTCATATTACAATTATTATTTCACAGAATTCGTGCGGTACAAACTTTACCTCTATCAATTTTCTTTCATAAGAGCTGGCAAGTTCCTCATTGTTTTCTACTTGCTTATGCTCTGGCATAGGAAATTCACCATCAGTACTCCAAATGCTGGGCGGAACTAAAACAAAGAGATACCATGTTAAATTACATAAACATCTAAGACAACCTGTCTACAAGTAATAGTTCTAAAAACCAGTCGCTAGAAGTATCAAAATTGAATGTAATATTAAACAGTATCACAAGCACTAAAAAATAAATGCTGCAGGGAGCTTTCTTGTGAGCAACATTTAGACAGGTACTCCCAACAGTGAAGAAAAATAATCAAACTAAAAGCATTTGGCTGTTCTATGACTATAGCTATCTAATAAATGCAGGTAGTAACCACAATTCCTACCCAAAGCCTTGCAAAACTAAGCCTAAGCTTCTCTTTTATGTCTTTTTTTCTACGTTTCTTCCAAAATATCATTTCATATTACATGTAACAATCATTTACACATTACAGAAATTACAGAAAACAGGGCTGGGAATTTAGCGGTTTTGCATGAAGTAGAATCAGCTGCAGTTATTTCGTTCCTGACAGTTAATTGTCTGATTTATTCCTAGAAACCTCCAATAATGGAGATTTCATGCTTCCCTGCACAATCTATTTAAATTTAAGTATTCTTCTTAGAAAAGTTTTCTTGATAGCTAATCAAAATTCCTTCACCTGCCATCTAAGCCCATTACTCTTCTTCTTACCTACAGTGAAATGGAAACTAGTTTATCCTATTCCTGTTCCTAGCTATCATTTATGTATTTCATGATCACTTTAATGCCTATTCTAAGCATGTCTCCTCTTCTCCAAGTTACACCAAGCCCAATTCAACTTCTCACAGATCATGAATTTCTACAAAAACAAGTTAGCACTTATAAAGTAAGCAAGCAGTAATAAGAGAGGTTTATCAAATGCCTTCATCATTTCTCAATAGCTAAACTATATATCCTGCCACAATAAAGTAGATACAACACTTCATAATTCAGCTGACTACTCTTGAGCCTGGGAACTGATTACTGCTTCAAAAAGTATATATATTCTGAACTTCATTATTATTTTATTAAGTGAATTTTGAAAGCTATTTTAAAATCTATTTCCAGTAAATCTTGCTTGTTAGCCAGAAACTTCTAAGATCAGCATTTTCATATGTGTAATGTTATTATATCTAAGCAGGTTTGAAAAATGGTCCACATCCAACTCTTGCTGATGGCTGGGAACGTAGGATGCTCATTTAATATTTAAATACAATATCAAATTGCTTAGTCTATGGCAGTGATCACTCATTTGAAAGCTGGTCTGATATTCTGAACTCAACAGTTCTGACTCTTGAGCAATTTATTTATAATCACATTTGCTTTTTTAAGTCACTGCAAGGCAAAGTATTATGCTGCATTTCATGTATTATTTTAGGAAACTTTAAAAGTCACCCTAAATAGCATCTGATCTGATTATTGCAGCAAATGGAGATTCTTCTCTGTAGTCATAAAAACAACAGCAGAAGCTCAATTTATTTGGACTCTTTCAAAATAGTTCCACAGAAAGTCTAATAACTTAGCATTCTAAAATCCACATACAATACATTTGAAACTTCTGGTTTGATACCATTTGGCAGAAGATTAATCATCATTGAAATTCCTCATCATAACAGGAGAGCAGTGAAATTAGTTGTATGCAACAGTTTATGCCTCCTAACATAGAAGACTACCTCCTAACACTCCAGCAAAAAGGGGACAATGGGAGTTTTCCAAGTTCAAACAGATCAGAACCCTGACATGTAAGGCTAGTTACAAGAACCTTACCTTAGAAGTATGTAAAATAATATACAGGAAACCAACAAGAATTTTAAGTCAAATTGACAAAAGTAGAGAAAACAGTAGTTTCGTAATCCTATTTCCTTCCCAAAATCATCACAACCTCAGAACACAGTAATAAAACTGGTCTTGTAAAAACACTCCATTATCCTTTTAAGCATTTCAGTTAATTACAAACCGAATTACTTCAGAGAAGTTGTTATTGTCACTTTAAGTTAAACCACAATTGGAAATCAATAATTTGACTTAAGTTACACAATGACAGATGTACTAAAAAATACAAATAGCTCTTTCTAATAATACAAATATTTTTAATTGTGAAGGCTCACATCTGAAAAATATGAATGCCTATGATGAGATACTGAAAATGATCTATGCAAATCATGAGTGCAATAGTGTCTATAAATTTGGTAAAAGAAAATCTTTTGTTTCACTCTCCTTCTTGAAGTGCATCTAAATATATCAGCTCTCAGAAATTGCTTATGTGCTTAAGTATTTTTTTGAGTCAGTGGCCCAAGTACTATTAAAAATTCAGATAAATCTCCAATGTCAGCTAAGGCGAAAAAAATAGTTTTCTAAAAATACAATGTGTGAAGTTAGGATATAAGAAAAATTATTACAAATAGTACATGCAGCTGCAATTTATTCTGGTCACTAATGATAAATATTACAGAAAATCACTGTGGATTGATTCAATAGCCTCTGAGCATAAAGCATACATGTATTCATTTTTAGAAATGTTGGTACTGTTTCATCCCCCTTTTTCATCTGTAAAATCTGACCATCCTACTCTGTTTCTATTCTTATCACTCACTGATTTGCATAATTTTAACATGGCAGAATATAGCCAGCCTAGGAATATTTTTTTTCTTTCCCTATAATTACACTCATCATGCAAACTGTCAGTATGTAATGAAGGATAATTTCTGCTATTATAAGAAGCTTAAGCGATGATTTTCTTGAATACTTCTTAATCTGAATCACTACACTCCAGCGAAGTCGGAAGTAAATACATGTGTTCTCACTAACAAAAAGCCTTTTAAGGATGAATGAAGTTTTTAAACTACAAATAAGTACAGTGACTAGCTCTTAAGAGCAGAATTAATGTAGTATTCATTCATAGAGCCACTTATACGACTACAATATTAATAATTAGGAGAAAAATGAACAAAAAGACAGATGGTGACAGTTTCTGAAAAGCCACCTCGTCTCTCAAAACACCTTCTACAGGCACCAGAAATACAGGTCCCACCAGCAGATGATTCAGAATCGAGACTCCAATTCATCTCGTCATAGACACTTCTATCACACTGACCACTGAAGAAAAGCAGTGACAGTGATAACTGTTGATCTTTCAGATATAAAATCTGCTAATTAGAGTCAGAGCAACATAGCAAACAAAGTGAAATGTCTGGTCTGTTGAGTCTACTTGAAACAGTCTGCAAATACTTATCCTCAAAACAACAGTAACAGAATAATATAGATACTAATTTTACTCTCCTCAAACTTGTGGAGACAGTGTTCTCACAGGAGAATGGATAATTGGTACATAAACTCTGAATAACCCTGAAAGATACAGCAAGGCCGTGAGAGGCCCAAGGAAGCCTAAACAAGCAAGATAAGAAGAAGCTGTAATTCACTGAGTTATGAGAACTGTGGGCTGTTGGCAAGCTTTCGAGGTCAAGTTCTCAAACCTGTGCTTAACCAATTATATGTTAGTTGCTAAGGGTCTTCAAGACATGTATCCAATCATAATATGCCAAATCACTGTAAGTGCCTGTAAGAAATGGTATATAAGGAGTTAAAGCTTTGTAATAAATTGGCATTCGTTGATCACATTGATCGTCCCTGTGTTGCCCGTGACTCCTGCATCGACACAAACTATTCTTATGTTCTAATATCACATTAAGTCAGAGATTGCTTTTTTAAATAAGAAACTTCCCTGAAAAAAGCTAAGACCACTTCTCATCTACCACAAAATGCTTTGTAAAAAGAAGTACAAAAAGCTACATCAGTATTTTCTCAAAAGAAAAGATATTTAATATGTTATTTTCACTACTGACAGATACTACTCTACCAAGTCTGAAGAGATTAATAGGGTTTGTAACTATCTCTTGCTAATCCTACTTCCATGTAAATGATCTCATTTGTTTTGGCAAAGACTCACTAAGGAAAGGCAAGACTTCTTGACTGTTTCTACTCAGCAGTAATTTAATAGTGTGCCAGCACATAATATTCTTATTGTTTGATCTCAATCTGCATTACAAAACTGTTCACAAACCAGCAAATAGCCCAGTCAGAGATGCATCAGGGGCAGCTCTCATGGGAACAGAACCCTCATCTCTTCAGATGGTGATGTTTTCCAACAGGAGGAAGGCTGATGTCGTACCAGGTAGCTCATGAAAGTGTGAAACATGCATGTTCCCAGATACACTAAGATTCATTTGCGTGGCTGAAGTGTTAGTTACTGACAAGGCCTTGCATAGGACAGGGTGGTTGGTTATCTACACAGATCCATTCCAGGATGGAGGAAAACCAAAGACATGCCTGTCCACTGGTTAGTCTTTCATTGTCAGTTTTTATACACATCGAGGAGCCATTTCCATCATTTGGTTACTACTTCTATGCCTCCAATAAACATGGTCTCAAGAGCAGCATACAGAAAAAACAAACTTTGTGCATGGATTATTTTCTTTACTCCATTTTATCCTTACCTTCCACTGTTTGACCTTCTCTTCTGAGCATCTGAACAGCTCCTACATATTTCTTAAGTTGCACTTTTAGCACCTCATTTTCTCTGTTGATAAAAATAACAATAAAAAAATACAACTGTTTTCTCAATGTAGATAAAAGCCACTTTCAATGGAAACAAACATACAATCTGTCATTATAAGCTTTATCTGTGTCATGAAGAGGATAAAAAAATCTTACACCTTAAATAGTACCTTAACAGCAGAGTTCCACATAAGAGGTCACATAAACACGTCAGAGAAACAGATTATCTCATAGTCAGAAATATGATTAATTTAGATTTTCTATACACTATGGTACATTGAAAGGCAGAGAAATTATACAGTCTATGAAAATCAACAGTTGAATAAAAAATTAGGGTGGGATATTAGACAAGGAAATTTAGAATGGCCAGTATAAAAGTAGGCATCATTTTACTATTTGCCAATGTATTTAATGTCGAGCACGTAAGAATTCAGCTTTAGAAACAGACTTGATAGCTGTAAGAAAATGCCAACACTTCAGCAACAACATTCAAGGTAAAAGTTTTCCACACACCAATCCTAAATGAAAACCATAGGAGAAGAAATTAAGTTAATCCCTTCGATTGTCATATTTTAGTGCCTGTCTCTGTCTCACTCTTCTTTGGAAGACACCGATATGCAAGCCAGCTACTATCATAGCTCCACCTAACAACATTAAGCACCTTAGTTAATATTTGAAGGAAAAAAAACGGATTCTAACCAATGGAATTTAAAAAAAATCTGACAGATCAGGTGTCTTAAAATTCAGTTATCTACCTAAGCCCATTCAGTTAACAAAAAGTGCTTACACAGAAGAAACAAAACTAAAATGTGTTACAAGAGAGTGAATTGAGACAACTTTTACTCTTCTTTAGGAAAGCATCAGGGTAGAAATACATAGGTGCCACAGATCCAGCACACACAAGAAACCCCCAACTGGTTAGAAAGAAGAGAGAACATGGGCAGGACAAAACAGAGGAGTGGTTCAAGCTCTAGGAAGCCATTTAAGAATGAAGAGTATTCAGAAACACATGCAAATGAGTTTGATGGTCCTTATCATACTGCATATACACACACACAAAGTATATGCATATTATATATTTTCATGCACACAAAAATAAACTGCAGTTGTGAGCAATCCCATAGTTAAATACAAAACCCCTAAGCTGATGCTATATTCATATTTCTATGGATGTCAAATCAGTTTCCTGAACTATGCAACCTCAATTTGATTCAGCCCTTTAGTAGGAGGTTGCTAAATAATTAAGAAACTATTGATTACCCAACTATCAATTTTTAATGAAGTCTTTGATGATTTTATGCAGTTTATGATATTTTTCATTTCCTAGACTACAAAGAACAATTCAGGTTTTCCATCAGATGGATGCTGATGCTTAGATTTAGGGGACAAAAATAAAAGCAGAAACACAGTTTAATTAAAACAAGTCTAAATAATTCACTCATGAAAAAAAAAATGTGACAGGTAGACAAAAAAGTCTCATCAGAAGTATAAGTCTGTCTGCATGGAAATAGCTGTATCCAAGTACAATACATAGAGTTTTAAGGATTCTCACTTCTACATTTGAGAAGAGACTCAGAGCCTTCTGTCTATACTGAGACAGCATCAAACAAAAAAACCGAGGCAAAAATCACAAATCCACTTTTTACTCTTGTGCCTGTTGACTTCAAACTGATACAGTGCACATAATATGTTTTTTTTATACAAAACTGAAATTCAAAGCAGAATACTAAGGCCAGGTCACAGTTATGTCATTTTACCATCTTATTACTTCTCCTTCTTTGACATCTCTTTCTTGAAACTATTTACCTAGATCCCAAAGAGTGCCCATCCTGATATGTATGAATTTATATAGCCCTTTTTATCAGACTATGTCAAAAAGCAATAATAAATAGCAAGCACTCACTAAGTCTTAAATGACTTCAAAAGGAATTATATTAGATATTCATAGCAAGCATTTCATAGGAGTATAAACTCCTGTATAGGAGTTAAGGGTCAGATTTGCAGAAATTCTTATCCAGCTCACTCAATAGTTCTACCTATAGGTAAAATACTTGTAATGAGCAGGGCCCAGCTTTACTTCAACTGCTCCAAACTCTACTATCTAACTTGAAGCAAAGCTGTTAGCCTGTTCTGAGACTGCAGATAAACACAACACTGAGCATCTTTCAAATCTTCCACACAATTTCACCTTCTGTGCTGCAGAATAAATGATGAGACTGTGAGTATGAGTTGAAGGAGATACAGGAGAAAAAAAAAAAAAAAAGGAAAATCAGGCTGAAATACAGGGAAAAACAAAGACCGAGAACTACGCCACTAAAAACACATCCATCTCCAAAACTTCAATTATAAAGAATTTCCCTGCCTGATTGCTTCTCCCATGTTAACAACCAGCTGAAAGGCAGAGTGATAATATGTCATTTTACCCTGCGTCAGCTCCAGGAGAGAGGATGACAATCTGGTATTCTTACAAATTACTCTTTGTGCTCAAATGGCACAGGTCTAGTGTGTGTTGTTGATTGAACTTTATACCACTGGTGATTACTCATGCAGAAGGATGACACAAGACATACTTCACTTTGATTGTTTGATTATGAAACTAGAAAATGACAAATTAGGAGCTACACTGAAAAACTACTAAAATTTGAAATCCAATCATAGAAAAAAAAAAATGGATATAAAGCAGCCTCTGAAACCAGAATTTAACTCCTCCCCAGGTGTGATTCTGATTTACTGTTATTTGGGTACACATAAGAAGCAGATTAACGGAATAACTTTGAAGCTTTATGTCTTCAAGCCAAACAAAAAAACCCCAAAAATGTATGCATTTCCCCACTTCTTTTTCTTTCAGACAAATAGGAAGCTAATTTCTGATAGAGCAGATTTATCTTCAATCTCTCTCCAAAAGTATGAAATACAGAAATACAAACATATTTCAAATACATCAACTTATAAATGCCATGTATCTTTAACAGCAGGATAAACTTTATTCCATCTGAAGCTTTTCAAGCAACTGTAGAAATTCCTCCACAGTTCTGCAACTATCCGCCAAAGAAAACCAGACAAAGATATTTCCAGGTTCCAATAAAAACAGGCTAATGCAGTAGGGATCAATGTCTTTTAGCAGAGTATATTTCATTCTATAGCATGAAATAGCAAAATAGCGAAATTACTTTTCGACAGAATTAAACTCTGCAGTTGGCCTTCTGCTTCTCCTGAAGACAAACCAGAATACTATAAAATTGTATGTATCCACTCTCTGCCATTAAGAGTCCCTTTGCTTAGAATCAGAGGGAAAATACAATCCTAATTACAGTAATGATCAGGACATGGTAACAACTGTAAGCAGAGAAGAGGAATGTAAGTATCAAAACCTGAAATGGTGATACATGAGGAACTTTTATCCGTTTTCTAAAATGTAAGATACTGCCTCAAAATCCCTAAAACTGTAAGCATTTTTCCTCACCAACAAGTTAATTCGTGCCATGAAAAGTAGCAACTGTTCCCTAAGAAGTTTCCTATCAAGAGGATGAATGTACCAGAATAATAAGCAGTATGTTCTCACATCAAGCGGAGGACAGTGTGTTAAGAGATGCTATTCATCTGGAGCACAGCAGTGGATCAGCCTCGCTGCTGGGACTTCTGCTGTATCCTGGAGAAGGACTAAGAACCTACAGGTGACATCTTCCCCACTTTCCTTATGCTACAGCATCCCTCTTAAAAGGGGGGGGGGGGAGGGGGGGCAAGGGGTGTTGGAGGAGCTTGGTTGATTTCCAATCATGTCCACAAAGTGTCTGTGACAGATAATTAGGCTTACTGAAGCATGTATACATACACTAAAAACAGTTTAAGGTCTACTCTGCAAGTCAAATTAGATGCATCTTATGCTTGTCAAAGTAAGATTTCTGGCTGTTAATATAAACTACTACAAGTAAGGATGTGTTTTATAAAAGCTGACTTCCAAAAATTTCATTAAAAGGCTATGCAATATCTTTAAGTTATGATCTTCGTTGCAGAAGAAGAGGCCTTATACGACTTCTTTTCCTATACTTTAACAGAAGACAAAAAAACCCACCACACAACTGCTTCTGTGAAAAGATACAAAAAAATTCTTCTGGGGCTTTGGTAAAGTGAGCATGGTAAGGTAAGAATTTGAAAAGGGGCAGTTTCTCATGTATGTTAACTATAGTGGCCTAAAGAATACTGTAAATAATTTCCAAGAGCTGGTTCCCAAAGTACAGAGGTGATGGCAATGCTGCGAACAAACACCGGATCAGTCTCACAACCAGCAATTTTATTGTATCCTAAACCAGTGTTACACAGTACACCAAAGTGGTAACTTTAACCCAGCCCCCAAAGGTGATAAGCAGCACCAGAGAGAACATGCACAGCAAAGTTTTATGCAACGCAATCCTGAGAACAAGCACAACTCCTCTGACAGCACATAAATCAGCGTTGTGACCAGAGACTGTTAAACTAATCCAATGAATGCTTAGAACAAAACTTGTTTTGACACACCCTGCCCACATCTATCAATATCTCAAGCCTTCATGCCCCGTGCTGGGTGCCAAAAGGACTGCCATGGTTTAACCAAAGTCAACAACGAAGCACCACACAGCTGTGCTCACTCTCTCCCTCCATAGTGGGATGATGTAGAGCACTGGGAAAAGAAAAAAAGAATTCATGGGTTGACATAAAGACAGTTTAATACAGCAGAAAAGGAAGGGAAAAGAATAATGATGATGATGATAGCACCTCCCATATGAAGATAGGCTGAGAAAGGTGGGGCTCTTCAGCCTTGAGAAGGCTGCATGGAGACCTCATAGTAGCCTTCCAGTATCTGAAGGGGGCCTATAGGGATGCTGGGGAGGGATTTACTCGCTGGTGGGATTGTGTAAGCTGGGAAGTCCTAAACTTAAGTCTCGTTCAGCAACACCTAAACCATCAGTGTGTAATCAACACTATTCTCATACTAAATCCAAAACAGTGCACAGTACCAGCTAATAGGAAGAAAAATAACTGTCCCAGCTCAAACCAGGACAAACACCATATGCATGAAAAACTGAAAACTATTCTCATGATATAGACACCTAGACTGTGTTCAGATCTAAGCTATGAAAGGGCTGTATCATAGCACTGGTATCTCATCTGAAGAAGCAAAAGATGTCTTTGTGGGTAAGAAACAAGAGGAAGTTGTTTATCTTATGAAATAACCTGTCTCTTTCTCTAAAACGTTTTTTGTAACTTGTGACATGTCACCAAGCAAATAAACAGAAAAAAAAAATTGAATACAGGAATATTCAAATTATTTTTCACAAGCAGGGATAAGAGGTATTTTTCCTGCTTGTAAGAAGCTGCTTAAGGTAAGTAACACAATCATTTCAAGATGCACAACACATCCTCACTGAAGTTCTCTGGCTCTGAACGAAATGTTGTAAAAGAGATTAATACAAAATGCCAAATCCAAAAGCAATGTGGCTTAAATGATACAGACACAAGATAAGGAAAAGAATTAGCTTGCAGAATGTACTGTAAACAGAAGGTACATAAAAGTGTAAGATAAAGTACAGTCAAACTCTCATCCCCCATTTCCCTACACAGTGTATTACCATCTTTATCTGCTTCTCTTGCTCCAAAGCCCATCCTTTGCAAAAGCCTTTCCTCCAACGTTTCTGAAGATAGTCTAACAATCTGCTATCTGAGATTCTCTGGTTTCATAGCTAACTTCAATACCTTTCTTTGCGTCACAAAGGGATGTAAAAGTATTCCATTAAAAAAAAGCAAAAAACAACAACCAAAACCACAATCTTGATTAAAAAACTTCCAGCATTGCCAAGAAGCCACTAGCACAATATGTTCATGCAATCTGAGAAAGACTTACCCATGAAAGGTGGGGGGGAGAATAATTAAAACAACAAGAATGAAAAAAAACAGCTTACAAAATTATACCAGAGAGTCTATTTAGTCTATTCTATCATTAGAAAATGGGCTGAATGCTGAGACTGCTCCTTTTTAAACAATACGATAGCTGTTATAAAACAGCTATTCAAGTACTTCACATGAAAGAACGAGATTACCACTACTTGAAACTGAAGTGACCTAAGAATTTTTCCAGTTTTCAAAGGGATCCTAGGACACCCAGGAGAATTTCTCTAAGCAAGACAGCATTTTGTCTATGAGACCAGAGACTCTTTGGAGAGCCTAAGAGATCAACTGGATAAATCAATAATGCAGATATCCAGCAGTAATAATTTCAACACTGACTAATGTGTCACTGAAATTTGTGCTCCCAAAACCTTCAGAAGGTATTTATATCAAATGCTTTGCAAAAGCTTTAGGAACGCTGAAATACCAGCTCTCATAACCTCAAGCACATTTTTTTCATCAAATTACAATAATCAGATTTTTACTGAATTCTTTGTTTTAAGATGTTCAGAATATTACAACTGAGGAAATTTTTCTACTGTAGGCATTTGATCAAGTATTTTCAACGTATATATGTGTGTATATATATATATAGTGAGATTTCACTATTACAAAATATCTGAAACTTAAGTTTCCTCTTACTTACCTAGTGCATTAGGCAGCACTTTCCAAACTTTATTTTAAATTCTTCAATTTATTTATCTTGTCCAACTTCATGGTTTAAAATATTATTTACTTAATAAATTTTAATGCTTTTACTATTGCAGCAGCATTACATACAGTGTATGACGTGAACCAGCAAAGGAATTTAGAAGAAAAACCTGTATTCCAAAATAGCTATATGCAGTTTCTTATGTGCTAGACAATGAGTTGCAATGAATCATTAAAGAAATGCAGCCAAAGTCTAAAATAACCAGTGACACAAGAATCTGTTGTACCTAAGCAGCTCCCAATGCTGTTTTCATTACGTGAGAAGGTAATCTGACTTTCAGAAGAACAATCAACACAACATGCCCAGTCTTAGCAGCAATAAATTAAACTTGTTTAAAAATAATGTTATTCTAAGTGAGCATCTGTTTAGATCTTGTTATACAAGCTCCTAATCTATTCTTCAAAAAGGTATGTGCATGAGCAGTATCTGATTCACCCATATGTCGCTGCAAATTCTAAAACTGTGGGGGAAGTGAGTCAAATAAATATGAATAGACAATTCCTATAACATTGAATGATGAAGTATTGGCATTGTTTCAATTGCCCTGCATCACATGAATGTCAAACCCACTCATGAAGATCTCTCCCTCAAAGTGAGTAGTTCAGTTTGATGTGTCATCAAAGGCAGAACTGGTAACGTTCTAAATACTTTTTTTCTTAAGAAAGCTTTGTATTTATCATTTTCAGATAGTGGTTCTGCTGTGCAACAAAATGCATACAGGAATCTCAGCTGTGTCACCTCACAATTAACACTAAGCACTTTGCCTGCACAGGCAGAAAACAAACAGTTCTCCCTGTGATAAGACAGAGATTACTAATGTTATTCGACATTTGGGATAGGTTTGTTTACTATACATATGAATGATGCCCAAAATCTCAGGCATCATAGGCTACTCTAGAGCTTATTTAGAATTGTAAGAAGAAAATCACACTATTACAACAATATTTACCTTCAAAAGCCTTTGTTAAGCTAAATCACTTTTAGACAAGGGAAGGATTAAAATTCTATTCTTTCAGCATAGCTGCAGCACAAAATAAAGATGGAGGCAAGTCACTGCCAGAGCCAATGCTGTTTAAAAGCTTTGTTAATGAAGTGAATGCTGGGACACACCTCAACAAATTCATAGACAACACAATACTGGGGAGCAGCTGATACATGGGATAGTTGTGCTGTCATCCAGAGGGACCTGAACAGGCTGGAGAAGTGGACTCAGTCAAATTCCTTAAGGCTCAACAAGAGGAAATGCAGAGTCCTGCATCTGAGGAGGAACAGTCTTAGGCAACCTTACATGCTGGGAGCTGGAAAATAGCTTTCCAGAAAAGGATCTGTGAGTCCTGGTGGACAAGCAGCTGGCAATGAGCCATCAATGCCCCCTTTGTGCCAAAGAAAGCCAACAACACCTTGGACCACATTAGAAAGAGCGTTGACGATGGGTCACTGTCAGAAACATGGAAATGGTCTTGAGCAGCCTGTTCAGATGACCTTCTTAGGGCTAGGAGCAAACAACTGCACCACTTCAGAAACTGGTATTGTTAATGCTGTTTTGCAACGACTGTTGTTTATGATACAGTGGCTGATTAAGTGGTCAGCCATAGAAACCTGACAACGGGACAAGAAAAACAAACAAAAAAAATAAAATAAAACATTTGCCCCTGGAAAACAAAGTCATGCTTAAATAATCAGAGAGAAGGAAGACAGGTCAGATGGAAATGTCACTGACAAGGATAATTATCCATTCTTTACTGCCTACATACATGAGGTATGTGTCAGCAGCATCTGACACTGACATGGTTCTATGTAACTGAAAACAATGAAGACACAAATACCCCTACTCGATTCAAATGACACTACGACAACTCGGCACAATTTCTGCTGACTGAATATTAAATTGAAGTAAGTCTCCAAAACAAGTCCTCACTGCTCCAGATCTGAAAGCTAGCATCCCAACAACCCAGCTTGTGTGTTTTTGAAAACCTAACCAAAACCCAAAACAAATCCCCAAATCCCTCATGATTTACACATGCACCAAAACAGACATTTCCACTAGTAGAACAAGTATTTCATTATTCTAGGACATCAGTCTATTTGCAACATTCACACAGTGTTTCTGTTCCCCTCCCTGCCCCTTTATATTTAAAAGCTGTATCAAATTTAAGGTTTGGAAAATACTGTTTGGAGACAGTGCTAGGTACATTAACAACATTAACAATATCATATATTCAACAGAAGGTAAAAACCGCCCAGGACCTTGATATTCTGATTTGTTCCAGACTGGGCAGGCAGCTATACCAAGAATCTCACAGATAACAAGTAAAATGGAAACCAATTAAAAACATTTAAAATTTGTTTAAAAATTAAAACAAAATTAGTCGCATATTCCTGAGGGGTGGGGTGGGCTGAGGAGATAGAACTGGAAAAAACAGATATATGAAGAGACAAAAGTAATCTTTCATTTACCTTACACACACATGTATTGCTTTGTATCTAGACTCATTAACTGTCACTATATTCCTGGCTTATGTTTCTTAGTGTTAGTCTAATTACTTCTTCAAATTAAATGTGATGTTGACCAAGGGTCAGCCCACTAATATTCCTGCCTCTGAAGCTGTACTGGTAGTTTTACTAATATTTTAAACTCTCTCTTACTGTTAACACTAGACAAAATAAAACCCACAAACTCCCTGAATGTCAGAAAATCTTCCAAAGGTTTTCTTCAGCCTAAACTCAACTGAAGTCCATATGATTTTTACTCCTAAATCACAGAACCATTAGAACTGGAAAGGACCTCTGGAGATCATCCAGTCCAATGCTCTGCCAAGGCAGGGCCACCAAGAGCAGGTTACACAAGAACATGTCCGGATGGGTTTGGAATGTCTCTAGAGAGAGAGAACACCACAACCCCCCCGGGCAGCCTGTTCCAGTGCCCTGCCACCCTCAGTGGAAAGTTCTTCCTCATGTTGTGGTGAAACTCACTGTGGTTTAGTTTATAACCATTGCACCTCTTCTTGTCGCAGGACATCACCGAAAAGGGTCTGGCACCATCCTCCTGGCACCTGCCTTTGAGGTACTGATCTGCATTGATGAGACCCCTCTCAGTCTGCTCTTCTCTAGACTAACCAGGCCCAGCTTCTGCAATCTCTGCTTGTAAGAGAGATGCACTTGAGACCCCTGACCATCCCTGTGGCCCTAAAATCATTTTTGCGGCCCCAGTGTTCACTTACATTCTTCTGAAAACTACCTGAATTTTCTCCTTTATGCAGAATTTCTTATTTCCTTGTTCCACTGCTGTTACTTTTTATGACAGTTTCAGCACTCCTTACCGTGCCAACGCTTGGACTTTCATGGCATGTCGCTCTTCCTGCTCTGCTGCTTTCCTTCTCCAGTTGTCCATTTCCTGTCTTAGTGCTGCAGAATGCTCCATCTCTCCATCAAGCAGATTTCTCAGAGATCTGGAGGAAGGCAGCAGCCCCTGTTAGAACACTGCTAACACTACCTGGTAATTAATTAGAATATGAATTAAAAAGTGGGTTGCCTGAATGATACCACCGACATCATCTTAAAATGTCATTATTCAGTGTAATAAATTCACATGATTTGATTATGCAAAGATATGAAGGACCCAATCAAACCCAAAGGAAGAAGGACCCAATCAAACAGTTGTCAGCACTTCCTCTGTGAACCTGTGTTACTGTCTCATCCATATACCCAAAGGACAGTCTACTATGGCATCTACTGTACCACCGGGAAGAAATAATTTATGACAGGAAACATCTTAAAAGCTGGTTTCAGTGTTTCAGTGCAAGTCCGTACATCTCTGGAGTAATCTATAAGCAACGTATTTACTAGGCAAGAGCAGGAGACAGGTAGGGGTCTTGTCTCCAGTGAGAGCAAAACCTCTGTAAAACTTTCGATGAGACAGCAAAGGTCAGCATGATGGTGACCTGGTCCTTCTGCCAAAAAACCCATGAAACTGAATGGAGCAGTAACTTGAAATTATGAGAGTAAGGGTAAGAGGCAGCAGAAGGGGATCAGCTGGTAGTCTCGATACTAAAACAAACAAAAAACTCTAAACTACAGAAAAATGTAAATTACCAAAATAGCCCTACTACAGCATAACAACAGTATGTCTTGAACACATTTGTATTTTCACTTATCTAGCCACGTGTTCCAATAGGCTATATAAATACAAAGTAGGCTTGACACCATTTTAAATAAGCCACTTATCATTTTTACATCATTTTGCCCCAAGTGAACAGCAAGACACAAGTAACAGCCACTTTCAGCATAACATTGTTAGCCATCCTACAGCACTTCTGTACCAGAAGGAAATGGCAATTTTCTGAGTTATGTGTAGGAGAAGATTTTACGCACTTGGAAATCTGTTTTAAGGGATCTTAAGAATCTTTTAGCTATAAGTTTTGGTTTTAAAAAACTACAAAAGCAAAACTAGCAAAGCTCCCAAGACAAAGAGTTATATGTGATTTGAATTTAAAGGAAAAGGTTGACCTGCAAACATTACTCTTCAGTATAAACAACTGCATATTGAAGGATTAAGCTTACCTCTGACAGAAAAAGAGTATCTACATAAAAAAGATTACATAAAGATTACACATAGCTTTACACAAAGGACAGCTTGTACTAGAGAACAGATTTTCATTTTTTAATTAAGTCCCTCTTGACTAGATAAAGAAAACTACCTATTCTGTTCTTCCAGTTCATCTTTTCTATTCATCATGGCCACGATAGCTTGACGAAGTTCATCTAAAGAGAAGGGACAAAAAAGATGAATTCCTATGTGTATAGTCAGGTACATAGTGGCACTAATCCAGCAACACACTTAAGATGATGCCAACATCATTTGCTGTTAGAAAAGTACATAAAAACACTCTTAATCTGATCACTAATTTAAGCAATCTTCAAAAATGGTATTATACAACACAGCAACGGAAGTATTGATCAAAACTAACTAGGCTGCTTCTGGCTTTAACACAGATGTTGATAAATTTGCCTGTGGCTACAGCTGTTTTGTTTTAATCACAGACATATGGGGACAATGCACCTTTTCACTATTTCACTATTTGCATACTAACAAGATACGCAGTTACTTGCTTAACTTCAAATTGCTTGTTTTCTATGCTAGAAATTCAGACACAGGATATACAACTGTTACAGTGAGACCAGAACAGAGAAAACATCACTGCTTCTTCACAGCATTTCTTCTCAAACTCAGTCTTAAAGAATGTCTTAAAGTCTATGGGATTTTTGAATCATAGAACAGCTAGGGTTGGAAGGACCTTAAGATCTTACCATTTCCTATGCAAACCTTTTCATTTGCTATAAATACCTTAAAAAAAATACATTGGCATTACACCAAGATTATTTTTTCCCAACAAAGACTGACTTTTATAACTTTTAAGGACTTCCCTAGAGTTAGGTTTAACAGTTATACCAGGGTAGCCGAATACCATGCAGAAAAACATCAGCTAAACACTGCCTCACCTCGAATCCTTCTGCTACTACAAAGCTTTCACCATGTAACCGTACAGCTGCACTATTACTATTTACTATAAATTTAGAGAAAAATATTAATAGCTTCTAAAACAGATTCTGGCTTCCAGATCTTACATGAATACATGAAATACAACAGGCCTTCAAATCTCTGAAGGCCTCACCCCTGGCAATGTTCAAGGCCAGGTTGGACGGGGCTTGGAGCAACCTGGTCTAGTGGAAGGTGTCTCTGCTTCCTTGATACTGTCTATAGTTACAGAGATTTTTGCCAGTTCAAAAAAAACCACAAACAACAACAACAACAAAACCTTAACATTTTTGCCCTGTGGACCAGATTAAGTTTGCTGAACTCTAGTAGTGGATGAAATATGAACATTTCTACCATGTCAATCATATGTATCAGTCAGTACAGACACCACAATTCCAGCCTGGCATTCCTGGCAAATCCCCCTGGCAGGACTCGGTAGGAGCCTCCTATCACCTGACATTGATCAATCCAATTCATCATTCATCACCAATCAATTTTTCATGCTAGATTTTTTCCAAAACATTTCTGCTTCTCTGGCCATGAAGAAAGATGATGATTATTTTCCTACCCATTCCAAGCTAGCGCTTGAGAACTGACATTAGCGAGAAACATTTCAGTGGGTCATTAGAGGGATTTCGCACTCCATTAATTCAGCACAGACAGAATGATTACTAGAGTAACTTAGCATCTTTATACAAGTTCTCTATATGTTCTCTGAAAAAATAAAAATATCCAGCTCCTGTAGAAATTACTATCTGAGTACTTTAAACAGGCTTCCTAAGGCTGTGCTTGCAGTATAAAGGCTGTTCCAGCTTGCTTTATCCATCATTGGTACCACCTCCCTTATTCTGGCCCTAGTGCTTACACATACATGCAGTGTCCCAGCAGAAACTGAGCCAGCTCCAAATTGGTTTGGTTTTGGTTGAGTTCTTTTTCAGAAAAGCAGCTGCCACGTGATCTTAATGTTGAGTTCAGTACCACTGCTGGTACAAGGCACAGAGCAGAAAACAGTCACAACACCTTTTTAGTCAAAAAGGATGATGAATGAAAGGTGGAATACCCTTTCTGGCAAGAGTAAAGTTCATATTGCATTGAAGTGATCAGGTAACCACTGCAATTTACACAGCAATGACAGGAAAACTTAAAAATGGGAAGATTATATATAACCAAATACACCATGTTCATTTTAGTATTTTCATTTCAGTGCTCAACAGTATTTTCATTACCGTTTTCCAAAAATGGACTAGAATAGTTTCTATTAACTGGTATTTATATTAAACAAACAAACCCCCAAAAACAAAACAACCAACCAACACTCCCACCAAAATTCTGAGATTTAGAGTATTATATTTAGCTATACCAAACTTGATGACCATGAAACTCAACACACTACTAGTATTCTTTTGGTCATGAGGAGACACTGCCACTCTGAGGGCACACTGGAAAGGCTGGGGGGTTTGAGGGGTTTTTTTTGGTTGTGTTATATTGTGGTTTGCTGGTGCGATTTTTTGGCAGTGGAAAATAGGTGGGCTGTAACAGTCACAAAAAAATAATACGAGTGTTGTGAAAGTGGACCACAATCCATCAGCCTATCTGTGAAATAAAAACTTGTTCAAAAGATGCACAAAATAGAATGCTAAGTGTTCAAGCCTTCTACAAGTGTACAACACAAGCAAAACACATCCGTAGTGAGCCCTGAATACAGTAACACTAATAAAATAAAAAGCTGAATTCAGAATCTTCCTCAAGAAAGCATCAAGTCAATTATATTTTAAACATTTGAATAATGTCATTAAAATATGATATTGTGCAGTCTGAGTTAGTTGCTGTTATTTCTCTGACTCTAAAGAAATTAAAGCCATTGCTACTGAGACAAGTGATGGTATTTCTGGCTCTGCACCTATGCTGGGGTGACTGCTCTACAATAATTGCCCGTATGCATACTCAGTCTGTTTAAATGTGCCCTGATTTATTAGCACTTCAACAGTGAAGCCATTATAAATTGTCTCCATTTTTCCAATTTTACCAGCCTATTCAAAGCATAACCTTAACTTGCCTAACAACTTACTCTTCTTTCCCTCATTCCATCCAGCATCTTCTGCATGAGTAGAACTGAAATCCTATTTTCTCTCCCTCTCCTCTCCAACACACACACAAGAAAGCAGACCATGAAAGCAAAATTCTGTTAATCACCATGGCTGGCTTAAAAGGAGAAGAAATAAAAGACATTAAAATGCTTTTTATTTCTATTTGCCTAATATTTTCTGAGAGTTATGGAATAGACAGTACTGTAGTGACACAGGAAAGAAGAAACTCAACATTGCATTATCACAAAAAGTAGTGCTTAATTTAGGACCAAAAAAGGAAACAGACTTCATACTCAGTACTTCTTATTAGTTTAGTTCAGTTCAACTACATATAGCAGTGGAGATGTGGAAGAAAGCATCAACACAAACACAGCCCAGGCTAAGGAAGCTTGTGCAGCCTCTGCTTACCCTAGCAGTGCTTTTGCTTTATTGCTGTACCTATGCTATTTCTTCTTGAAGTGGTGAGTATTAAGCAGTCATATTTTCCACCAATTACTCAAAACAAACACAAGAACTATACAGTTTTTCAACACCTCTTTAACCTCACCATCTACCTTAAATATAATGGAGTCAAACATTCACTTGTGTAATCAAATGAAGAGATACAAAGAAAAAAAATAAATCAAAAACTTGTATTTCATCGTCTTCTGATGCAAGTTAACAATGTAACTGAAAGTGCAGCTCCGTATTTAATTCAGGCATAACATTCAAACCAGAAAAAAATATCGTAATTTCTTACTCTCATTTATGCTTCTTGAAAACTTCTAGTAGCATGTTAGAAAAGTCAGCTGAATGCAAACAAACTGAATCCAGTGCCATGCACCACGGCAGGTTCACTTCAGATCTACCAGAACATCCAGTTCCTCAGCTTTTGCCTATGTCGTACTTGCCTCTCAGATGAGTGCATGATCATAACCTATTTTTTCAGCAGACTTATGTCTCATTCATTGTGTGCATTAGAAAAAGGACTAAATCAATAAAACCTTAAAAATCAGTGTTGTGGCAGCAACCATACACTGGGCATTTTTTTTTACTTCTGGACTTTGCAACCTCAATCCTTCTCCACCTCCTTTCTAAGTAACAGTGAGAGGATGGCCAGGTCAACCCACTTCAGAAAACTCATTCATGTCCTATTTCTGAACTGCTTTGTGCTTGATGTCAATTACAGTCTGTAAAGTAACACTAACAGAAAGAGATATACTACTGCTATTAACAACTGGCATTCAATACCAGCATATTTCAAAATTAATATGATAATCAGAGTTTCATAAAGACAGATACAAGAAGATCCCTAGTAAAGTCTTGAAAATTGTGTCATCTTAAGAGTTACTTTTGCAACAACTTCCATGTGCAAACCAGTAATTCCAAACCAGCTCTTTTTTATGGTTTGGGGTTTTTTTACTGATAAAAAAATGAAGGAATATGCAAATTACATCATTCATATTAAACTTCACTTTTTAAAACCCCAAAACTACCTTTTATTGTGGAAATTAATCTGTAGTGCCTAACTGCTAATAAAGCAGATATTTCCTCTAAAACCTTTTTTAATTTCCTTGCATACTATGTGCAAAAGTCTAACTCCTATAAAGCTTTTGTAAGGTCCCGTTCAGAGCATGAAATACATACAGAAATGCCATGCTTTAAGAAACACCTGCCAACTTACCAGCAACCTCCAGAAAAGTCCTAAGTTTAACAACTCTTCTGCTGTTAAGATTGGAAAAGCCTGATTTGCAATCACCTGTTATGAAGACTGAGCTGTAAGTGAAATCATCTCTCTTGTACACAAGGTCATGCAGCACTCCCCTGCAATCCTGCAGATGGAATAGCAGGGTGGGCTGGGAACAGGCTACAGGAATGACTTTTTGGGTTTATTTTCCACAGTGCAAATTTACACAGATATTTTCAGAAACAAATAAACTTCCAACAGATGATCTACATCTTAAATCAGAAGTCTGACCTTTAAAGACATGCCTGTGTGAACACTGGATATTAAGGGTTTATTTAGTGCCCCAAGATTCTGCAAATATTATCCTGTCATGTTACTATTATTAAGGCAAATCATAGTAGGAAACAAATTAGACAACACAGGTCTGGCATTGTACTGTTTAGTAGGGTCCTGATGAAAAATAGAAGTCCGTAAGATGAACTGCAGATTTTTTCTCAGTGATTAAATTTATACACCCTCTTTCCACAGTTCTCTTTCAGAGAAGTCTCAGAAATTTAGTAGCTGTCAGGAAGTGGTGGCAACCAAGTTACAAAACATGTCAGAAGCTATTTAGAGGACAAAGTACAAAAAACATACACCTTATTTACCTACGTACCAAGATCAAAATATGATATGTAGGTTTCATTATCCAGTAAAGTTATTCAGTGATCATGAAAACAGTGGAGGCTTTTTCCAGAACATATGAAAAAATAGAGAATGATGTACAACACTACACCCTTTGCTAACCTTTGTGGTTAAACCCAACTTTGAAATCTGAGGGAAATTATAGTGGAAAAAATAAATTCCCACTTATTTACTAAAAACAGCACTATACTCAAAGAACCTTCTAAAGAAGGACACAAGTAGCATCTTTCTAAAATAAAAGTTTTGGAACTTCCCTTTTTTCCACCGCAAAAACAAAATTGAGAGACTTGTGCTGGTAGGACAGATTATTCTGATGGTGCAAAAAATGCTGAAAATACAATCTTCCAATGACAATAATTGGAGAAGATAAAGTTGTTTGTGATTCAAGTATGACAAGGTAAATGCGATGTTTCAATGTTTTAAATACTGGAAAATGACATGGAATAGGCACATAAATACAAAACTTCTGACAAACTTGTTAATAAAATTGTTAATAAATTTACAGAACGATCTGTAAAGTAGGGTGAGGTTTCAAGGGATGTCTTCGATTCTCAGTGGAACCCTAACTCTGCAGATGAGGATTTCTCTCGAGTGTTATTAGTATTTTTTGAGCTCTATCTCCTGCCAAGTTGACCTCTACATGACAAATGTGTTGACATATAGTTAGGAAGATCATTCAAAATGGCAGAAATTCTAAATTACAGCTTCTCAGAACACAATTTTCTGGCCTGCATGTCAAAAGAACCAAGCAAGGGTTAGTACTGTGCTATTAAGTCGGAAAGGAAGAAGGAAAAGAATAGATTAAGCACCCAAAATTTCATTTCGGGCGTTGTCTGCAGAAGCAAGAAGCACAAAAATCCAGTCACTGGAGACTTGCAGCTTTTCTCCCTGCACTATTGCATCCCATTTTTCTTCTCTGATCTGTTAGAATTAGTTGCTATGCAACCAGGCTCTAAGCCTCACCATTTAATAATTCTTCCTCTAATTGCAATAGAAAAAAAGAGCTTCAGTATCTGGCTTTATCACAGCACTGAATTCCTGCTGCCCAGGGGATCTGCAAGCAGTAACAATGAACTTGAGAAAGGCGTTATTATTGAATGTATCTGGGATCAGCTGCTTTAAAGGCATTAATTTATACGAACAGTCAGCTGAATTTTGGTTCTGATGACAATTAGATTATTTACTAAGCATTTCACTGGTTTTGGAATTGTTTTCACATACTCCCCCCCCCTTCCTGCCACCAAAACCTTCTCTGAAATGGGAAACTGATGGTAGCATGCATGCTTCTGTTGATCCTGTGGTTCTTTTCATTTAGAAATTGCTAAGTATCAAGAATTGAAAATCACAAGATTTACTTTCTATTTTATAGCTGTCAACTACACATCGGAACTGAGCAACTAAAGGAGACCAATTGCGGCCCCTGCTGGTACTTACTACACTGACAAACAACAACAGCAGTAATAGAGTGCAGTAAAATCGGAAACTTTCTCAGTAAAATTTTATTACTCAGAAAAAAAAAATAATGTAAGAATGAAAGGATACTGCAGTAATCGTATGAGCAGAGAATATCCAAGTGACCAAAGTATCACAGTAACTATCAACAATCTACACATCTACAACATTCAACTGTGTCACTTAAAAGTCTCAAACTAGCTATTCCCCTTCATAAAGTACTTGGTAATGCTCTCTCAGCAGACGCAGGCCAGAGCCTAAAACAGTACCCGGTGAAAGTGCATGGTCTACCCCCTTTAACACACATTGACACAGATATCATTTGAACATGACATTAGAACATGAAATTACAGTATCGTAAGGGTTCATTCATTCTGATGATTTCATAAATCAATTTCAGAAAACAATCCTGGCTGCATCACTTCTACATTCCCAAATGTCATAATTTGAAACTGTACATATTTAAATTAAGAAAAAGGAACACACATACCCCAGAGCTTTAGGAACAAAGCCATATCCACCAGTTCATCTACAAATTTCCTGTACAGTGAGGAAAATAAAACCATACTGACTTACATGCTAGTCAGTTTAAGAACTAAATCTTTCTTCTACAAGTTTTTGTGAAGAAAAAAACGCCTAAAAATGGGGTAAGCAAACTGCCTGTGCTTCTACTAATATCCTTCTACAGCAAAGGCTATTTCATCCTGTCCAGCTCAACTCTTAACACCACTGAAAATACGACTGTACTCTAACCTTAATCTTAACTGAACTTTGATTATGAAAGCCCACATTTATGTTTGCAGCAGATTTCCGTATCAAAACCACATACAGAATGTACACAAAAGGAGTTCTGGGTTTGTTGGTTTCAGGCTTTTTTCTGACTAAGCATTAATGAAAGCAGGCAAAATGAGTAAGATCAGATCAGAACCAACCATGTGTTTTCAGAGCTTGCAGAGATCTAAAGATGTTAATGGAATTTAATAATTATTGTTCATTTAAGTACTCAAGCCACATCTAGTATAAGGATGACATCAACTTTTCTGGGGAAAGAGAATCTAATGTCACACCAGCTGCAATGAACAATAACCTGGGATCTGCCAATTCAAGAATCGTTTTAGAGCAGTCATTTCTAGTATGGCCAGCATATCAGGAATGAAGTGCTGTATGCCTCTCTGAACAGATCTTACTGAAACAAAATACGTATTGAGAATGACAAAGTTAATTCCAGCAATCTAGATATATCAAGGTAGTACTTACTAATTGTCATGGATTCTGGCACAGTGGCTGAAGGCAACATATTGCTTAAAGTATTCACTTGAGCTGGAGGACTGACTTCCGCTCTAGTCATAAAAGTACAATTTCATCAATAAATGAAAACAAAATCCTGAATTCAAAACGTAGAAAAGAATTCCAGAAACTATAATTATCATCATATTCAACCATATTTAATCAACTTTTATATAATTATCCTTTAACGTATTTGTTGTGTGTCTGATTTAAGAATACACACACAAAAAATCCACATCAAAAGTCCACAAAGAATACAGTAAAAAAACGACAAGAATCAACAAAAAAAACCTATTTTCAAAGCCAGGATGGTGAGTCTACCTGTTACTTGACATGAGTATGTGACTTCAAGATAATTAGGAAAAGTTCAATATACGAAACTGCATAAAGGGATATAGGCTTTTGCATTAGTCTTTCCAAGCATTTGCAGAAAGTACCCTGAGGGACAGTCTGCTTCCCAGCACTGGGTAGCTACGCATTAGGGAACAGTAAGAAGTTGGCAGCTACAGAGTGAAAATTTTTCATTTAAGGAAAACATATATGAAACGTACCTGTAAGGAAGATCAGACCTTCTTGGAACCAGTTCTACTGTATGAACATGTTCATGTCCCTCTCCATTCTCCAAGTTATCTAGAGTAGAATACACAAACATTAGCTTTCTTCAGCTAACAGCACTTAAAAACTAGACCAAAAACAAAACCAGAAGGAAGTTAAATTTTTAGCTAGCAATACTCACTTTACTAAAGCTTTTAAACACTTTAAATTCTTTCTCCAAGGTTGGCTTCTGCACATTCACCCCAAATGCCAGCAGGATTGTAAAGTCCCTTAGGAACACAGTTTCAGTTTGGAAAAGAAGTAGTATTGCACAATTCCCAAGTTTTAACTTGGATGTATATTTTACACTGAAAATAATGCTGCAAAGCTAGGAAGTGACTCCTTACTGAAGGATTTTTGCAAGTCTCAGGAGCTTAACAACTACATGGCATCTGACACTCATTACGAATCTGTTTGTGACTTGCAGGAAAAGGATGTGTGGTTAGTCCCCCATACGTTAAAACCTGTGCAGACACCAGTCACTTATGCATGCCTTACAGAGCACCATGCTTTTCCACGGTTCTTTAAGCCCAGGTACCAAACATCAGGAATCAGACAGATTAGATGTTTTTTAAAAAGCATGGATAATATGCATCTGTCCACAGATTCACAACTGTCAGGATCAAAGCATACACATCACTGGGCCCGTTACTAAGGTAGCTCAGGTGGAAAGAAACAAAAAAACACATTTCACTGATGTTTCCCGCATCTTACTATTTAAGGGTTACAAAGTTACCACAAAAGTACCCTAAAAGCATGAGCTAAAACAGCCCAGAACATAAGAATCAAAAATTAAAGGGAAAAAGTTAATGCGAGTTCCCACTCCACAGTATACCCACCCCCAGAAACAGGAACATTTACTTGTGTTTCAGATTTCAAACTGCTGCAATCAGCAAACCCTTGTAAATCTATGGACCTTTTCTAACCATTTCTGTATAATATTTAATACAATGCCACAAACTACATGTTTTCTACATCCAGTCCTTCACAAACTGGAAAAGAAAAATGGAAGTACAAAAGTGGAAGTACAAAAAAGAAGTAGAAAAGAAAATGTATTTTCTTTTTTTTTTTTTTTTGATCCACTGGCATTTTGGCAGAGAGCAGCACAGCATTATGTGACATTCACATTATTTTCATCACCAAGCTTACAGGACTGAATTACACTTTTCTATTAACAGTCTATTTAAACTCTGAGCATATATAACACATGCAAAAAATGTGAAAAATCTTATCATTAAAACATTGTTTTAATACCAATAAGACATTCTTAAGTAGTTCCTGAAGTAAGAATACATAGCCAAAGTTTGATAAAAGCAATATTCTTACGAACAGCTAGCAAAATGTCAACTGGTGAAAGTGGATGTGGGGAATGGTGGAAGTTTTTTGTTTGTCTTTGGTAGCAATACAGATGCTGTAAAAGCACCAGCTCTTCTTTTCCATACCTTTGACTATCTTCATTGCTTGCTTCAAGATTTTCACTGAATGGTCTGCATCATTCTTGAGGTGCAATACCTCAAACTGCATCATCAGAGCCAACTGAGCATTGATTTATAAACGATACTTTCATTTATGCATATCTGTATGAAGTGTGGGAAGCACATCACTGCTAATTCACTGCCAGCTTGTGACCCACTGTAATTAGTGGGTCTCCTGCAGAAAACAACCAGAGGATGCTGGTGGATGAAATACACATATGAGGCAGCAATTGGCACGCACAGCTCCAGAAACCAATCCTACCCTGCGCTAAGCAAAAAACTAAGCATGGCTGAGGTCTTTGCATCTATGAACATGCTGCAAGGGCTGGAGCAGCTCTGCTCTGGAGATAGGCTGAGAGAGCTGGGCTTGTTCAGCGTGAAGAAGAGTCTGGGGAGACCTAACTGTGACCTTTCAGTTCTTTAAGGGGTCTTATAAGAAAGATGGAGAGAGACACTTTACCACAGCCTGCAGTGACAGGACAAGGTGGAATGGCTTTAAACTAACAGCGGGGAGACAGAGGTGAACTCTTAGGCAGAAGCTCTTCCCTGTGAAGGTGCTGAGGTGCTGGCACAGGGTGCCCAGAGAAGCTGTGGCTGCCCCATCCCTGGCAGTGTTCAAGGCCAGGTTGGATGAGGCTTGGAGCAATCTCTTCTACTGGAAGGTGTCCTTGCCTGTGGCAGGGGGTTGGAACTGGGTGAGCTTTAAGGTCCCTTCCAACCCAAACCACTCCATGATTCCCACATCCTTTTCCAAAGATGTATTTCCTAGCCAATCATTTGTCATCCTGTATATAAACAGGTAACAGCTTCTATTGAACTGCATCCAATATTAGATACTTTCTCCAATCTGTCTAGATTAATTTGAATTCAAAGTCCCAAACACATTTGCAGCTTATTCCAGCTTAGTGGTATCTAGAAAACAAGTCAGGACACTTTTTAGTCAACCATGCTAAACATTAGTAAAAAACAAGACCATGCCTTAATCCCAACAAAATTCTGGTCTATTTTGACACAGACAAATCCTCAACTAAATATCTACTTCAATGGAGAACTCTCATTCAGATTTAGAATAAACTTTAATTGAACCTCCCATCTCAACTGTGCAATACATCCTATGCCCTTACAATTCTGTTATTTCTTACCATTACCCCATATTAAATATTCTGTTATAAAGTTGCTGAAATTTGGTAAATTAAAATATATACCTGTTTGGGAGTAAGAGCCAACAGCACTGACAGGAAACAGAACATCTGAATCATCATTCAGGACCTGCAGAGGACTCCAACTGCATATCTGAGAGCTGCATGTGCCTAGTTCATGAGGCCTAGATTTAAACCAACAGAACAACCTGTTTATACAGTCAGTGTTCATGTTCACAATGCTTTGATTTCTTTCAGATATATCACTGCCAGAAAAATCTTTATTTCAATCTACCTGCCAATTTCTTGTTTAAGACAAACTTATTCAAGATCAGATTATTTCAAAGGTGAGACAGGAAGTTCTTTTTCTCCAGAGGGATTTCTGTCAGAAATCGAGAGGTCATCCTAGTAACTAAAATTATTTCTTTTTCCCTCATTTGTGTTTCGTCTTGTCTTGTTTAATTATCTGCTCTGATGATAACAGGCTTACTTTGTTCAAAATACATGGGTTTACTGTGAAGCCAAAATAGAATTCATAACCATATTAAGAATAAGAACATTTCAAATAGGCCAGAATTATAGCACGGGTATATGATGCAATAATTTCAGCAACTAAGAATTTCAAGGAGACCAAGTCTGAAATCGAGACAGTTTGGTTTTCAGTGGAACTCAGAAGCAAAGTACCATCACCACAATGCCCAAATGGTTTAAACAAGGGGAAAGAAGATAAAGGAAGGGGTGAAGGTGTCTGAGAAAACCTATAGTTCAATCACACGGATCTCATGGAGTCACACAGTACTTATGAAGGAAGGAGGAAGGGAGTGGGGAAAATGGCTCCTGCAAAGTTACTTACTTTTCAGAAGCTTCTGTTTCCCCTTCTGTGTCTTTATTTCCTAATGATTTCCTATACAGCTCATCTTCATCTGCATCTTCATCATCAATGCTCTTAACATCTAGTTTCTGGTATTCACATTCTCCATTCAGGAACATGGAATTGCTCTTCCACGAATGGTTACTTTCACTCCCATTCAAACTCTTCCCAAGAATGCTTTCAGATGAGGGTGATGCAAAAACTGAAGGTCTGTCTACACTCTCCTCTGAACTTTCCCCTATAATCAGAGTCTTTGTTGCATCCCCCAAATTGTGGTCATCTTCCTCTTCATCAAATGAGATAATATTAGTCACTCTCTTCTTCTTTTTTCTGTCTTTTTTACATTTCAAATCTAGCAGCAATATAAAGGTTTACATAATTTAGAAAGAGAATGCAATACACTTGTTTTCTTCTTCTAAAAGAAGAAAAAGCCTCTTAGATCTATGAGGTCTTTCATTATCACTCCATACACATCAGCTTTTAAGTCTCTAACTACCATCTTTATTTTATATGCCTTACGTAATTCAGAAGACATTTCAGAAGTGCATTCCTAACAGCATTCAATTAGAACTGGGAAAAATTTCAACAAGCTTATAAAATTACATTTAAAATTGTAGTTGGCTTCCTGTCCCTTTCTCCCAAGGAATATGGTTAGTGTACACTGGAGTGTCTGAGTACACAATACAGAAAACACAAAACTTCTGTGAAGAATTAAAAAGAACAAACTCACAACACAAAATCCAACCAGTCTGCAATCAAGTAAATATATTTTTTGCCTGTATTTTGGAAACTGAGCAGTCAAGTCTTGAGAAAGAGAAACTGAACTTGATCCCTCAATGGGTAATTGGCTCTTGCTCTGGAAATACACTGAAATCCTCTCAAATACATCACACCTGTGCCTTGACAGCACTTACTTTTGAATGATTACCTCTCCACACTGACTCTGATGTGCACACAAGGCTGAGTGGTCTTGCAAAGTTGAAGACCTCTAAGAAATACCAGAAATGTACTCACCAAGCACTCACATTGGGACTCAACTGTTTTAATTCAAGTCTAGCTATTACATCCACAAAACATATTAACGTATCTCTAAGAGTTAGAGGATGTTAAAACCCATTCTGGATGCAAACAGAATTCCAGCAAAGAACATAGACTTTAATGAGAACAGCTGACTTGCTCTAGCATGTAACATATATTGGCATTTGAACAAACCCAATGTTTTCAAAGTGAACTTTTATTGTAAGTTGTACATTACATGTACATTATGTTGTAGAGTCATGCACAGAATATTGTCAGTTATTCTGGTGTTTCATCTTGCAAGACTGTTTTATACTTATGAAGTTATCCCAAGTCAAGTATTAGCTACTATTTTATGCTCACTTAAAGTGGGAAACAATAAAAACTTTACCACAAGTTTGGTTTGAGACAAAGTCTCTTTTAAATACCAATAAGAAATAGATTTTATCTCAAGTTCTATCCCTAGCAGACAGCATTCTCATGTGGTGTTCCTTCTTTTTTCTCAAAACAATTTAAAGCCTAAACTTAAACCTTGCTTCCCAATTGAAAAACACTCTGTACCTTAATAAAGCAAAATATTCCTCCAGCTCAGCTTCTGGAAATAAAGATGATAAAATATTCCTCTGCTATTTTTGGAAATGAAAATGTATAATGAATGCCACATTTTGCTTAATTATAAAAGATTAAGACTTTGGGTCTTTGTTAGTAACTAACACCCTACGAACTGGTTGCAACACTAACATACGTCAAAGTATAAAGTGTGTGTAAGTTTTCATCTGTGGTAATTACCTGTTTCATAGAGAAATTCAGACTGTAAACATGGGTGCTGCTTGAAGAAGATTATAAGCTATTATTTTTATCTGATATATACCAACAGATATATAGCAGTGCATTTCTGAATGATAAAAGTGCCAGAAGAAAACATATTAATAATGAAAAATCATGACACGAGAAGCTGCAAGGCATTATCTCATTAATAAGAAATTGAAATTCAGGTCGCAAGCAAAGCACTTTACCAATGATATAGTTTAGCTTCCCTCTCACAGTGACACAAGCGAGATAAAACACTCAAATACTTCTCATGTGTAATGCACTTCAGGCTTTTGTTCCATAATCGCGCATTAAATTTAACTGGAAAAGTTATTTTAACACACTTGAGAATTTTATAGAGCTGCTGAATGAGACAAACGTTGCAAAAATGCTTACCAGCATTTACACTCTTTGAGAGAACAGGAAGTGGGTCAGTGTCCTGATCAGGTTTTATTAGAATCGAGACAGCAGATGATGCCGTGATCTCTCTAAGAAGGCTGCTAACACCCTGGGTGGATTCTTTCAACAATGAGGTCACATTCTGCGTTGATTCCTTTAACAAATCAGACACGGTGGGTGTGCATTTGCTCTGTCCATTTAAGTCCTTATTGTCAATGTTGATTGCAAAAAGAATGGAGTTCAGACCTGCACAGAAAAGAAAGGGAAAAATAAGACCAAAAGCTCACTATATACTTCATACAAAAGTTATGAAGATAGAACCTAAGAATTAACAAAGCTATGACATGTAAAACATTTCTTCCCCCAAGTTTCCCACAGTTCATCATGCACAAATTCTTATTCTGTCACGTATCATTCATTCTTTTTTAGATCATATTCAAGCTGATGCCATCAGTTCTGAATTTATCTTGACGGCTGTTCAGCTGCACATTAAATAAGCAGTAAATACTGTGAACACATTTATTTATAATCTTCTATTTAAACTCATTTCACTGCAACTTAAGTATTTGTTGGTGACCACGTATCTGAGAAAAGGATTGTACATGGTAATAATGCATCACCTCTGTGGTCAATTCTCTACTATTATTCCTACTCTTATTCTCCTTTCATGTATTTACCTATAATTTGGCTCTTACTATATTAAGTCCATATATATATGACAAATTTTGTTTTCTCGAAATTGCACTAGGTTTCTAAAAGAAGCTAGCCTTGACTGATGAAGTTAGAAAACTTCTGTGAAAGTCTTTTGAACTGTAGGAAGGACAGATCCAGTATTTTAACAGTTCATCAATTCATAGCATAAACTAGCATTCACCCTGAATCTGCACCTGACACACATGCTCCACGTAAGCAAAGAGCACTTGAGAGATGCTCCCCACAACCAGAAACAGATATAACATTCCAAAATGAAGAGCAGTAGCATTTTAGAGAAAGTCTTACCAGCTGCCATGGTAGGAATCATACTAGAACGTTCTTCATCCATCATAAAAGACCAGTCTTCATAGAAGACACTACAATTTGAAATGGAAAATAAGAGAATATGTAGTCCTGTATTAACATGCTTTCCACTTCTAAAAGACAAGAAAACTCTGAAAAATAAGTGTGAGTACCCCAATAGAATAAATTATATGTCCTGGAGTTCTGAAATAGAGGAAACTGAACAGTTATCAAAGACATGCTACATAGTACTTTATCTTCATTTTTATTTCTGCATTTCTACATGGACAAAACAGCCACAAAGGGCAAGGAGGTTCATTCTACATTAGCAGTCACAATATTTCTCTACACCTATTGCTATACTGCACATATAGGTCTTAAATAACTACAGTTGACTGTAATTACTAAGCCAAATGAAAAGAACATATTTCTGCTGAATCCGCTGGACTTGATCAAGCTCATCAAAAAAGGAAGATACCCCAACTTTTCAAAAAGAAGAGAAGCTGAAGATGTTCCTATGAAAAGCGGGATTCAGTTAACTGTGAACTGAAGTGCATTTCACATATCTAAAGTACCTTAAGATTTCACAATGCATAGTAAGTTACTCTCAGTAACTCTGTAGAAGTTAGGTTCACAAACCAGTACAAAACCAGTTTCAAGTGATATAGTAGCTACCTATTGCTGGACTGCTTTTCAATTACAGGACGAGCATCTCCAAAGGCCCCAGGCAATTGCCATTGATGAACTGCTAAGATCAAGGCTGCAACTGTGTGCAATGTTAACAGCATGAAAGGGGCACCTCAAAGCCTGGTGTCAAGGTCTCAGTGAGAAATACTGTTGAAAGAATGGGAAAGGAAGTTATGAAAGAGGATGGAAATTAAGATGAGGATAGAAGCATACATTCTCATGTGCTAGAAGGAAGCCAGTTTCAGCTCACATGTTGATATAGGCACAAGCCACTATTTAATGGCTACTAAAATTTCAAAAATGAACAAAATGTAAGTATAAGATTAAGTGGGTCTGCTAGCAAAGCAATTAATACACTGTATTAGTACAGCTGTATTTTTTTGTTGGTTGTTTTAATCTCAGTACTTCATTTGTCCATATATTTCCTGCATTACGAAGATATCAAATACAGTACCCAAGTCGATTCTTATCTGCCAGCAGCATATGAACATATCTTTCCAGGGAATGCTCATTTAATGCACAGCGCAACCAGGCCCGGCCTCTACCAATGTCTGTGGTAATTGTCTTCAGAGAGTAAAACCGCTGCAGTTCATGTTTATTCAGAACTTCTTTCACATAGTACCAGAACACTGGTTCTGGAATAAAAAAAGTAAAAATAATAATACTTTAAAACACACCAAAAAACTCACATCTGAATGCATTTACATGCAATTTTCCAAAAACAGCAGGTAATGGCATATAACTTTAAACAAAGGTGAATCGTTAGCATCTTCATACAACTCAGCAGTTAAATAGGTTATTTATTTCTACAGAACTTGGGCTATTTAAGCACTTACAACTTTTCACCTCATTGAAAAAAAAAAACCACACATTAACATTTAACTCTTAATCTTTAAATTGGATTCACATTTAAAGCACATTTAAATTAGTATGTCACCCATAGAGCAGGTTCTAATGATCAGTTGGGAATGTATTATGCAAAGTAAAAGAATTCTTTAGAATTTTATCTTGCTGCTGATTGTGAAATATTGGAAGCTAGGACCAAAAGAAGAGATAGCTCTAGAATTTCCAGACATGCAAATGACAAATTCATGTCACTTTAAAAAATTAAAAAAAAAAAAAGTGTTATATTTAAAAGGCAACAACACCCCCTTCCATCAATAGACTTTCCTTGCCCTGTTCCCAAATATTGATTAAAAGGGGGTTTTGCAGTTGCCTCAACTTTCTCAGTTGGAGCTAACAAAAATCTACCTCAGTAACCGTAAATGTTTTATCCCTATCAAAATTCAAGATATTTGCCAAAGATGCTATTCATGATGGAACTGTAGGAAGTCCAGATTTCCAAACACCAACATTTCTAGAAAAGCTTGGTATGAAAATTACAATACTATTAAAAAAGCAACAACCACTTACACTGCTTATTGAGAGTCCAAGTGTTAAGCATGCTACCAGCAGACTGCAGACCTAAAACGTCCATTAGAAATTGCATCACTTGCACTTATCAACTGCTTAAAATAGAATCATTAACTAATTACCTGTTTCAGTTTTACTGGAGAAACCTGCTGCCTGTTTGATGGCTGCTGCCGTTAACGCTAGTCCTCGACTCCTCCTCAGGCCATGCTGAAATACAGCTTCAAACTGAGCACACAAACAAGTGACTCTGCAACAGAATTTGTAACAAAATCTTGTGAAAAGAACAATCAACTATGTTTCTACGAAGCACGTTTATTCCAAATCTCTGAATGTAAAAGTGAACATGCAGTGAAAAACTTCTTGTATGCTCTAATCTCATAATCTGCAAACAGTATAACCTACTTATACCCAAATCCTTGTTATGACATTCATTCAAGGCCACACTGAACAGAGCCTTGGGCAACATGGTCTAATGTGACGCATCCCTTCCCATGGCAAGGGGGGTTGGAACTGTATGGTCTTAAGGTCTTTTCCAACCCAAACCATTCTATGACTATCCAAACCTGGGGCACAAATGACTTTCAGAAGAATTGGCAATCAATTTGAGAAATCATCCTTACCTGCTATAGTGATTGTTAGTCACATAATTTCAGCTTCAGATTTCATGCAATTACATTTTCATAAATACCCTTTGTGCTACACATGCAATGAATGTTTTTCTGAAAATATGCTGTAACTTCCTATGCAATTAATAGATAAATTTATTAATTTGCATTAGTACTTATAATTCAAGCCTAGGAAAACAGGCATACATTTTAATATCCTTCAGAAATCCCAGGCACAGGAAAATAAGAAAGATTTTTCTGGAGATGCGTTGAATCTTCAAGTTTTGCTGCTGTTCTCTATGATACTATTTACAAATCTCCTGATACTCTTTTTTTAACATAACCCAGTTAATAAATCAGTTTTCACACAACTAGAAACACTGTAAAACCAGCATAATTTAGCCTGCCAAAGAAAGAAATATTACTGCAACCTACAGAGAAGAGTAAGGCTTAAGGTATAACAGACAGGAAGGAGATCTGTTTGTCTGAAATACAGAAAATAAGCATTACTTTTGGCTATTAAAGAAACAATACTTAAGCTTTAAGAAAGTTGTCAGCTCACTGCCAAAGCTGATTTCCAAAAGGAAGGGAAGATACTTTAAGTTCAAGCAAACTCATAAAAACAGTTGACAAAGTGGCACACGACTCTGCTCCAGCACTACAGAGTTCTATTCAAGGTCACAAAAAAGCAGAAGATCTCAGGAGAAGCCCTGACAGAAAGAGAAGTATATTTACCATTACTGTCCTGGACAGCAGAGATTTTAACATGTAATGCTTTCCAGTCCTTCAATGTTAGGAAACTTTACTTTGTTAGGAAAACTTGACTAATAAAGCAGTATATCATTCAAACAATACTCAAGATGATTGTGGAGCTCTTGTGATTGAATTTTGCCTAGAAGACTTCTGCTGTCAAAAGTGGAAATTCCTGCAGATACTTAACTTTTCAATTCAGAAAAAAACAGAACAAAAATTAGGTTCTGTGAAAGAGCTCATGTTATTAAAAACCTGTGTGAACTGCTAACTCCTTTAGCCTGGAGTTCCACACACAGCTAACACATAGAAGCTGCACTACAAACTACTCCTGAAAGGAGACAAGTTTGCCCCTCTCAGCCCTTGTGGCTTCTTCCTTCTCTTCTGCACTTCCCATTGCTTTTAGCTGTTTCCCCTTCTTGCAGCAACTCTAGCATTCACCAGATGTTTTACTGATCCATCTCCCTAAAATGGCAGAATGTTATCCTTTTGCATTATTTCTTCTTTCATTAAATTCATTCAGAGAGGACTGGATGATCACCAGCCATTGCTCAAAAAGGTGGTGCAAGGAAGTAGTACTGTAGCTGGCAACCTTGAGGAGCCCTCCCCACCCCTTCAGTAGCTATGAATTATTACGGTGACTTCCCAAAGTCATGAAAACACACCCTTAAACATATTCTTAAAGACTGAATTAGGAGGGGATTGAAGATAGTTTTATATGTAATTTATGAACAGTCAACAGAGAATTAACTTCTTCCGAAAAGGCAGAGTCAAACTTCAAAGACATAAGAAAAACTACAATAAACAACTGCACTGAATCCTGGATTTATCTTTACCCAAGGTTCTTTGACAGGACAGATTCTGAGACAGACTCAACAGGATACAGAACACACTGCTATTTATGTCAGTCATCTTCTTGAAAGCTGTAGAAACCAATATGCCATATTCAACAATAAATGCAACTAATATGAATTAAATGACATTTTTTGACTTACTTTGACTTGACTTTTTTACTTTAATAAAAAGGAGAACTTCTCATACATAAAAGGAAGAAAAACAGGTTTATAACATGTCAGGAATTAGAAAAAGTAAGGATGATGATTTCCTTAGTGACTATGTGTTAAACACACTTGACAGTTAAGTGTCAGACTTCATAAAAAACAGGTGTATTGGTAGTAAATATGCATTCATTTTAAACAGGGTTTTATGGAAGGTCAGTTCTCCCAGTGCCATGTTCCAACCTTAGAGTTCAATCCTTTGGCATGAACTCTGCAGCCATTGAAACACTTGCAGCTTCATACAGAAGAATACCCTGTGTTAAGCTATCAAATTTTTAAGAAGATGAAAAATTCAGAGTCCCGTGTCAGTAGAAACAGGGGTTTTTGAGTGTGTGAGGAATTTTGTGGCACTACAATACATAATCCAAGCATGTTGGAAGTTTCTTAGACTACTTTACCTGCTATCAGAGTCTGAAGCAATTTCTTTTCTTCCTCCAAATCGTATTTGACACTGCAATAAACAGATTTTAATAACTTCTTGTTGCACTAACAAACTCAGTATTTCAAAATACCTCCATGTAAGAAACAAAGTCATAACAAAAAACTGAAGCACTACAAAACAACACATTGGCAAATACAGCCTGCAACCAAAAAAGTGTTTCACAGCATTATGTTCCAATAATGGCCTGCTCTTTGGAGTTCTTGCTGTAGCTAGCCAGCAAAAAACACCTGCAGGTCCTTCAGTATATTTGAGTGAAAATTACTACTTTTGAGTTTTAAATGTACAACCACAAAATGAAACATTGTTCCTATTCAGCTCAGCATTACAGTTAGAGAAGGATCATTCTTTATAGGACGTATCACTGGCTTACTTTTCAGGTAGTCTTTCGCCTCACAAGCTCTCCTAAATTGAATCCAGCCTATGAAATCCTATTTGCTGAACTTCACCCTGATGCAAGATACACACACACACACAAATAAATCCCATCTTTACCTCTATTGTAATCATTCAGTAAAATCCTAGTGCAAAGAAAAAAAGCTGCTACTGTAAAATGTACAGTACAATGCAGTACACTACAATTTAGTTCAGTGCTGTATTACAGATATATATTCTTACACATATTATGTATTACAAAGGTATTTATAATAAGTATAAATATTACAAATACAATCTGCCAAGAACAAGAATTTTAAATACTGCATAATAGTTGTTTAGTAGCAGACAAAACCAACTTAGTAGTACTGTGAGAAATACAAGATTTCTTCTTTGGTAAAAAGGAGGAAAAAAGGGCAAAGACAAGACAGTTCCTGCTCGAACTGACAACTTGGAGTAAGTATACTATAAAAATATGTACTGGATGTCTCACCTGTTTAACTGCATCCAGCAGCCGTTCCAGAAGAAACTGTCGTTTAGTGTCATTGTTCTGTGAACCTGAAACTCAACAACATGATATCAATTTAAAATAAGTATCTTCTTACTGTCAAACCACCTTACCACAGAAAGTTTTTAACAAGGTGAAACACAGAGCAATTGTTATAATAAACCCCTTAAAATTTAACTACCAGCCTAGGTCTTCCTGATTAATACCTATAAAATCTAGTTTGTTACATGGAACTATGCAAGACAAACTTTAACAATCACTTTAACGACAGATAGTGTAACGCTTTGCTTGTCAGAATATGCTTTATAAACTCCCAAGAATATGTGTAAAATTTATTGTTTAATTAACCTACATCACCTCTATCATTTTATTCTGAACTCACATTCAAAATATCCTTCATAAACCTCTTGTGACCTCTCTGGAATTAAAGTCACTATCCTTTTCCTCTCAAAGAACATACAATTAATATATGCATAGCCTGAAAGCCAGTTACAAAAACCGCATAAGCAAGTTTCTCTAGATACTGAAAAAATCAATCACCACACCATCAGCTCTCCAGTAAATAGCAACGAAATCCAAGATATGTGACACTTCCTCTTGCTGTCCAACACTTCAAGGTCCCAGTCCCAGAATTCCTTATCTTCATAATCCCATTCAAAGTAGCTTCCACTTAAGCCAGCAGCAAGGGACAGAATTTGTCCTACTGGAATTATTCCGCTTCTATTTCATTTTAAATATTGGATTAGGAGAAGAAAACTCCCGTAGTGTATCTAAAATACACAAGTCAGCTGCTAACTAAGCTTCACAATGCTTATTTGGCTGATTTTCCCAGATTTTCAAGAAGTTACACTTCCCATTTTGAGCTCTTACTCAAGCTGTGTAGACATGTGATGTATGAGGTTTGGTTCTGCTACCAAATATTCTGATGCATGCAAACTCAGGTGAAGATGCAAAGAGTTCAAGGCTAGTAAAGGACTGTAGAAACAAATCCCACACCAAGGAGATTTTAATTCCCAAACAACTATGTGAATGATGCCACTACAAAGATCAGGTTAAATTAATCTAATCCTTACTACTCCACTTTATGCTCCTTCAGAGTTCATAGTTTTATTAAATCACATTCAGCGTTCTTACCATGCAGGCACTGCGAAAAGCAGACACATGCCTATGCATCTAAATGCCTTATAAATCACATAACTGGAATAAGGAAAATTATTAAAGCTCAACTTTCATTACAAGCCCTCATGAACAGGAACACTGAATATACACAAACCTGCAGATCTTCTCTACTGTTTCAAAACTTATTACTTCTACATCTTATGCCATCCACATGCCTGTGAGAACAGGCACAATGCAACATTTCTCTTTATATTAGCAGTTTGAGACTACTCAAGAACAAACGCATGTAATTAATAATTCTGTGATCAGAAAAAAATCTGTCAAATGAAAATACTAAGAGTGTGGGTTAACACTGTCTTCCAAATGCAATACATGCTCATTCTTCAACTCGCATATCCTTGGCATCTTTGGATCTATTTGATGACACAGAAATGGTTTGTAACTAAATACCAGACTCTGAACAACAAGAAGAAAAAAAATGCGTAAATGCAGAAAACCTACAGATGATAATTGATGTTCTAAAAGACTAAAGAATGTTGTATCAAACAGCCTTAAATTTACACAGACTGAGTCAGTGTAATGTACATTTTTTTACAGCTTTACTTTCAAATTTGTACTAATAAATTATGACTACACATGTTTGCAGCCAATAATTTCATAAACAGTTCCAATCACCAGTAACAGCGCTCCGAGGCCACATGATGTCTGTGAGGGCTGGCCGCAGTTTCAGCTCAATGCATGTCTTCAGAATTCTTCTGCTGTGTTTTACATAGAAACTTCACAGGTAGAAAAAAAAGAATACAGAATCTCGCATGTTTTAAAATTGAAAGATTAAGTTGTGTGGTTTTTCTTATCAGTCTTATTAAAGACTAGAAAACTTAGCACTATTTAGCAATGTTTTATTTCAAGCAGATGGGAGGGACAAATAAATATTTACAAGCTCTATTTAAGATTTTGCTTTTTTATGGTCTTCATTTTACAAACTTCATCTTTTAAAAAAGCATATTTTTTTCAGATAAGTGCACCAATTAAGCATGAGCAGCTCTGATTTACAGACTAACAGTGTATTACAAACTGACCAAAACACCCTTCAACTGATTCAGAATAGTGTAAAGACTGCAGTAACATACAAATACAAAACATAGAATGCAGAAAACCAGCATTACTCAGAAAGAAAGGCTATATTTAGACCACTGCAATAAAAAAAAAAAAAGGAAGTTCAGACACAAGGCTAAAAATAATTGTGAAAACACAAGTGTAAGGTTGAAAAAACCTAAGAAACCCACCCTACAGGCATATCCCATCAGGGGCTTCATCAGGGACTCTAGTGATAGGACAGGGGGTAATGGGTTCAAACTGAAACAGGCAAAGTTCAGGTTAGACATAAGGAAGAAGCTCTTCCCTGTGAGGGTTGCTCAGGCACTGGGACAGGTTGCCCAGAGAAGCTGTGCCTGCCCCATCCCTGGCAGTGTTCAAGGCCAGGTTGGACAGGGCTTGGAGCAACCTGGTCTAGTGGAAAGTGACCCTGCCCATGGCAGGGGGTTGGAACTGGATGAGTGTTAAAGTCCCTTCAACCCAACCATTCCATGATTTTGTGATAAGGCTTTACACTACAACAGTTGCCACCTTGCCTTTTGAGTCACAGAACTCAAAGAGAGCTCCCAAAGGTGAGTTTCCTAAGATTTTTTTGATTTGCAGAAATTTGCACAAGGCTTGTCCCAGCCTGAGGCTTTTTCATATCAAAATGCTGACTGTTAAAACCTTCAACACTTGGATGGATTCTATTCCATTTCAAGATCTAAAACATCCAAGAGACTATCTTTTTTTTTTCCTCCTCATCTTTTCTTCCATAAAAATCTTTTGTTTTCATCCTAGCACAAAGGTGACAACAAAACAGAAAAATACAGCTTAAGTGCTTTCATTTCTGGTTTCACTTTCAGATATTCCTGTTACCTGTAAAACCAGTAGTGCTCAATTACTCCAGTTAACTCTTCTACTTTTCTTCTTACTGTCTTTGACAGAAGATCTCACCACATGTTAATTCAGGGTGGGAGATAAACATGCAACCTAATTTTGAGGTGCAGAGTACCATCAGCAACTTCCATTACTGAACTTGTATAGCTAGACTCATGAAAGCATCTACTAAACACCTCCCTTCTTAAAAAATACCAAACAAAGCCTTGCCAATGAATTTTAAGACACACTAAGTGCCTATTTCTATTTACAGGAAAATAATTGTTAAGATTTCTTTCTCCATCACACCAAGCAACTCGTTATGCTGGCCCATTCAAGTGCTCTTCCTCCACTCCTGAAGTTTATGGGTCCTAATCATTATGCAAAGCTTTTCAGTACTTCCCCTCACAAACACTTCAAAAGCCTCAGGATTCAGCGCGCACACACACACACTGCTTCACCCCAGCACTGAGGCCAGAAACGCACACATACACTGCCGACTCAGGACTGAGTAGAGGAACAGCATCGATACATCCCAAGTACTAACAGGACTACTTTTTTCCACTAGTCATGCTCCTGTCTCTCACCGAGCGAGCGCACGTTAGAAGTTTGTACTGGTTTTTGTTTTTTTGTTTTTTTTTTTTTTCAGTTTTTAATTAATATTTTCTCATGGTAATTTCGTTTCTCAGGAGAATTTGCTGCACCAGTGACCCCCGAGGCCAACATCACCCGTACTGTTAGCCGGCGTTACGCTCAAGGGCAGGCTTTAGAGTTTAAAACGAGCTAAAACACCTCTTGGAGGGGGGGGGGGGGTTAAGGCAACCAGAACGAGGAGCGGGGTGTGGTGGTGCCGGCGAGAACTGAGCCCTACTCTGCTCTGCGGGGATAAAGAATCCAAAGCCTCCCGCGCCCCACCCCGACACAGCCCTACCGGGGACAAGCGAAGGGGGGAAAAGGGGCCTCTATCGGAGGACAACACCCCGCCAGCCTCGAGAGGCAGCGGAGAGGCGAGGAACCCCCGGGGAAGCTCTGTCCGCACCAGACTCGACAGTGCCCAGAGACCCGGCGCCCGCACCGAGGGGGGCCGCTGGAATCCCCCTCACTCACCACTCATGGCGACCGCGGGGCTGCAGCCCTCCGTCCGCCGGACCCACTCCCTCCTCCCGCACAGCATAAAGCCGGGCCGGGACAACACACAGACTCCGCCCCGGAACCCTGCTCCACTGCCCCGGAAGGTAAACACCTCTCCGCGGCGGGCGGTGGAAAGCTCCCCGGCTGCCTCCCAGCCTCACAGTGCCGCCCGCCCTCAGGAGCGCCGAGCGCAGCCTCCTCTCCCCCGCCTCTCGCCGTTCCAGCGGCTCCCACCCCCGCGCATGCGCGGTGACGGGCGGGTGCCGGCTTCCCGGGAGCACTGCGCAGGCGCGCCACCGACTCGGCGTCCGCCGCAGCGCGTGCTGGGCCAAGATGGCGGCCGGTACCTCCGCGCGCTGGCTGGGGGCTGCCGCCGCCGTCGTGAGGAGCCGCGGGCCGCGGGACCCCGGGCGGCTGCCGCTCGTCTGGCTTCTGCGGGGGCTCCGCACCACCCCACGGCCTGCTGCCCGCCGTCTTCTCCTGCCGCTCTGCGCCGCGGGTGAGCGCGGCCGCTGCGGCCTCAGCGGGCCAGGGTTGGGGGCCGGAGGCTGTCACGGCGGGGCCGGCGCGGGCGCTGGGCCCATTCCCCCGGCGTGGTCCCGCCGCTTGCCCTTCGCGGGCCCGGCCCGGCACTCACCCGGCCCCTCTGCCCTCCTCTCCCGTAGGGACGAGCCGCGCCGCCGCCGCCTTCCACAGCAGCACCGCGGCCCGCGCCAAGGAGGACTATTACCAGGTGTTAGGGGTGCCCCGCACCGCCACTCAGAAGGAGATCAAGAAGGCGTACTACCAGGCACGTCCTGCCGCGGGAGCCTGCTAACTCAAATCTCGCGTCTTGTCTCTAATTCTTGCTTTCTTCTTGTTTAGCTGGCAAAGAAATACCACCCTGATACAAACAAGGATGACCCGAAAGCTAAAGAGAAGTTTGCTCAGTTGGCAGAAGCCTACGAGGTAATATACAGGATTTTATTTGATGAAAAGGAGAAAAATTTTAAGAGTAGATGGGGAAACAGTTTTGGTGTGCATTTCCTGGATTTTCGTGTCTTGTACTTTCGGCTTGAGCACCTCTGTCCCAGCAGTGTCTCTAGGAAATCACTTAAGCCAAGTATCTGATTTAGCTGAGTATGCTGGGGGCTCCTTCAATTTGTGGTTTTTCGTAGCAGTTAGTGACTGGCATGGATGTTGTGGTCACCCCTGTGGAATTATCAGTCTCTTTAATCAAACAAAAACCCTGGCTGTAGTTACTGGCGGTTTGACACAGCAGTTCTTTTCACCGTTCTTCCCTAGCCCCTTCCTCCTTACTCTTCAGCTTGTTCTTGTGCCAGTTTTTGCCCTCTTGGATTTTCAGATCTAGCCCAGCACTCACTAGCTTTCACCCAATACATTAATAATCAACTCTATAATGTCAGTTATTTATTATAAATCAGTAAAGCCTTGTTGTTTTCCTGATGCTGAGCTGAGAGGCATCAGGGCAGCAGCAGCTTCTTGATTCTTGTGCTCCTGGGTTAGCCCTCTCATGACAAGGTCTGAGAGCGTGGAGGGCTTGGGGCAACAAGGCCAGGAGCCTTGGGTTCTCCCAAGAGGCGCTGCTGTGCAGTTACAGGCTGCTTTGCTGCTGCAGATCTGCACAGTGTCATGATGGCATCTTTCTTTGCCTCCAAGGTGTTAAGTGATGAAGTGAAGCGGAAGCAGTACGATGCATATGGCACAGCCAGTTTTGACCCTGGAGCGACGGGTGCTGGCACAGGGCGGCAGTACTGGAGCAGTGGTCCCTCCATCGATCCTGAGGAGCTCTTCAGGAAAATCTTTGGAGAGTTTTCAGGATCCCCTTTTGGTGATTTTCAGAATGTCTTTGACCAGCCGCAGGAGGTATGAAATGAGTTTATTTGCTGAGTAATGAAAAGGAGAAATTAAAACCTCAGAAGCTGGAGAGAGATAGATCTGTCAGAGATCACTCCCAGAGCGAGCTTAAGCACAGAATTGGTCTGGGAGCATCAGCATGCAAGCATCCCATTGTTTGGTGGGGGAGTCACATATTTTGATAAGCTGTGTAAGTACATTTCCCACACCTCCAGACAGAGTATTCTTTTCTGTATTTGAGCTACTCCATCTGGTGTTTCCTGACACCAGTTGGTGCTGCCAAACAATTCCAGTGTGGCAGAGGCATCTTTTCTGCTGTACAGTGATTTATACATGTCTGCTTTGATCTGTAATGCTAAAAACCACAAAATACCTTTTAACTATAAAACAAGCCTTCCAGCGTTAGGTTTGGCTGCTTAATTGGCTTCATTTTGCAACCTAATTGGCTTAACTTTGCATTGGAGCCTGCAAAAAAACCAAACCTGTGTAGTCTTCTTTGTACTGCAGCTTAGTGCTCTTTCAGGTGTTGACAGTTCATGTGCTGCCTTCAGAAATGCTTGGGACTTGCTTCACTAAAAATGACCTTTTAATTCTAAACGGAATTTCCTGTTTTGTGCAGTCATTTTTGCTGATGACTGCCCTTGTTGAGTAAAGAGTTTATTGACGAAGATCAGATGCTGTCATTGGGGTTTAAAGCCTTCACCTGTTGCTGAATTCCCATAAAATAAAACCTTCAGAAACAGCAAGGGTTTTTCTGAGAGCAGAATAACACCTGACTTCTACTTTTGCTTCCTTTTCTATTTTTAAATTGCATTTCTGCTATACAATTGCTCATCAGACTGGTGTAGCCATCATTCCTATAATGTCTGCTATCCTTTTGTACCCTTTTCGTGTCTGTGACACAGATTATTGCTTCCTCAAATGAGGTAAACCCTCAAACGAGTTGTGTCCCCACCCATTTCTTCCCCCTGTCTGAGTATATTTTAAGCATGATTTTATGTTTTGCCTAAACCAATTTCAGTCTGCTTAAAACCCCACCAACACACCAGTTGTATATCAGTGTCTGTGTTTCCTGTGCAGTATATCATGGAGCTGACATTCACCCAAGCTGCAAAAGGTGTTAATAAGGAGATTGTGGTGAACATCAATGACTCCTGTGAGCGATGCCATGGGAAAGGACATGAACCTGGTACCAAAGCACAGCGCTGTCACTACTGCAATGGCACTGGCATGGTAAGTGCTTCTTAAGACATGAATTAACGCTGTGCTTTTCCTTCTGGGGACAGGTCAGTCTCTCCCACAGTGAAAAATTCTCACTACAGTCATCAGGTTATCTTGGGCAAAGCCAGGTTAATGTGGACTTAATGTTAATAGGCACTAGAAAGATCTGCTCTGTGTTAAAGAAGAGCTCTGCCCAGCTAACAGCACTAGCTGTTAAGGCTACATCATCTGGTATCACACGTCCAGCAAACCATATTACAGAATGTAACAGTTCTGAAATTACTTAATATTTATGTGATCTAATGATTCTAAATTATTTGGACATTAAATGGGAAACTGAGGGGTGGAGGAGGGAGGAAGGTGATGATAGGCTCAGGGTAATTGTGATTCATGTTACTTACAGTAAGTAAAGATCGAGCTTCAGGCTTTCAAATTCCACACACTGGCGCTGGCAGTGACTCTGTGACCAGAATACCTTTGCTCACAGAGCAATTGTAGTTGGTCAGAGGTAGCTGAAAGCTCTTCCCACTGTTTCTTCATGTGCTCCAGTCTGGTGGGTAGCTTTCACAGTGCAGTCCGTAGCTTAGTCTCCATAACGTTTTCATGGTCACTGGCAATAATTCGTGCAAGTGGATTGTCCTTGGATTCCTCAGAATACAGATACATGTAGTTGCCTGTGAAATAGTGCTATCAGGAGCACTGGTCCTTCTGGCACATTAAAGCTTAGAGATGTGAAGCGTGTTTCCCTTCCCTTTCCCATGAGGCACTTGCTCATAGTACTGATGGTTTTGAGTGGAGATCAGAATACGACAGCAATTGGATCTGCTGCAGGTTCTCACAAGCAGCAACCTCTTTGGGTCTCTGCTGCTTTTCTGCTCCACCCCTTGCTGAAGGATGTCACTGTCAGGTTGCATGTATGATTTAGAGAACTTGGATGTGCCAAGCCTCGCACTGGCAGCATGTTGTGGAAGTTTAAAGTACCATCTGGGTACTAAATATTTGTACAATCTGTGTTTTCTTCACCAGGAAACAATAAACACCGGCCCTTTTGTAATGCGATCTACGTGCCGACGGTGCGGCGGTCGCGGTTCCATCATAACCACACCATGTGTAGTATGTCGAGGAACAGGGCAAACCAAACAGAAGAAGACAGTGATGGTCCCTGTGCCAGCTGGTTAGTGTTGTGCTTGTGCACTGGTCTCTGTTAACTAACTAGTTATTTGCTTCCAGTTGGCCAACAGCAAGGCACTTGCCTCCAAAGCTTGGCTGGTTTCTGCTAGAGCAATGGGAGAAGTTTTCCTGCAACAAAGTTATCTGAAGAGCAGAGAAGGTTGATAACTTGGCAGCTGAAAGGGCTGGTAATGAGATGAACTTTCTGGCCATGGATATAGATGTTTGCTTTGCCCTTCCTGAGGCAAAATTTTGGTTCTCACATGAGTCCTTCTAGGCAGGTTTTGAAGAGCCAGACTCTCAAAAGGTTTAATTTCTTGGGTTTTTCATTTGTCCTTTGAAGCATGGGGAGAGGGTGAGAATCTTGAAAGCCTTAGCTTGGCTAAGGAAGGTGTTCTGATGGTCTTCCTCACCACAGTGGGGGTGAAGACTTGGTTCTCCAAGACCACCCTGAATGAGCAGCCTATAATTTTCCTGCAGCTCATGGAGGCTGCCATGGTCTTTAATCTGGTGCATTTCCCTCAATTCTGTAGGGGTTGAAATAAGGAACCTGCTTGGGGTGTAGTAATTGTTGGGGATATAAACATGTGCTGACACCTCCTTCCTTGGACCGCAACTGTTGGGCTCTTACTGAGAGTGTTACTCTGCTGCTTGCTGGTAGGTTGTGTGACTTGTGCTGGAGGTGTGGGTGCCCCTGTCATGGCTGCCTTTTGGGGATCCAGGAGTTGTAGGTACGCATATAACACATGGACTGTAACATAAGGTAACATTCCCTCTTCTCTTTCCTGATTGCAGGCGTTGAGGATGGGCAGACAGTGCGGATGCCTGTGGGGAAGAAAGAAATCTTCATTACGTTCAGGGTACATATTAGCAGCTGTTTTCATTATTAAGCTGATTGCCTGTTCTCTTCACAACTGTCTAAATGGGGCATGGAGGAGGAAGAGTGAGTGATGCTTTGAAACAGCTGAAGTAACATGATCCACATGAACTTCCTGAGATAGCAGATCTGCATTGTAACCAGTGGTGTAACGTTCAGTCTGCTTGTGGAGAGTTGTGCTGCTTGTTCCAGGACAAGGCCCTTGCAGTAGCAGGCATCAAAATGCAGAATAGATTCCCAATGCCTTGGGTCTTTGACTTGGCAATGTGCAGGAGCTGTCTGCTCGCACGGCTGGGAGTGCTGAGGAGGCCTGCAGGAATGCCCATGAGAGGCATTTGCACATGTTCTGTACCTGGGGCCCTGTCCTCCTTTAGGTGTCCTGTCATGCAACTCTGTCGAGGAGAAAAATTTTTTCAGTGCCTTTTCAGTGGTGTTGGAGGATTTAATTCACTTCCAGCATGTGAGGCCACTTCAAAGGTGCTTGCTTCCCTCTTCTCTTCCGGCTCTCCCCTGTTCAGGTACTGGACAAAGCAGTGTCTTCTCGGTCTCCACAGAATCATACTGGCCTTGATAAATTAACAACAGGATTAGGGGAGGGAATTGCTGAACTAGGAAGCAGGCATCCTCCTAAGCCTCTGACTAGTCATGGCTATGTCAAGATCTGTGTGAGTCTAAAAGACTGAACATTAACTTACACTTCTGAGCTGGGTCTGACTGCAGTGTTCTGGTATGTTTCCTTCAGAGAACCTTCAAAGCAGTTTACTATGAGAACTGTGTGATGGTGTGCTCACTTCTTTTTGGAAATGCCTGCCTTTTAGGTTCAGAAAAGTTCTGTGTTCAGAAGAAATGGAGCGGATATCCATTCGGAACTCCTCATTTCAGTAGCACAGGCTGTGCTGGGAGGTACAGCCAGATGTCAAGGCTTGTATGAGACAATCAATATCACAGTAAGTACCTTTGTGTGGAAGAGCTTGGGCATAAATCAGTGTGGGACAGCAGAGACTCATCCTTTGTTGCAGAGGTGAACAGATATCCTAAGTCTGCCAGTGTCACGTTTCAGACTTGGTCAGGATTGAGTGTCAGGTAGTGTGTGACCTGCTTGCTCACATGTCCTTTCTGTGGTAGGAACAGGGAGAGGAAGAGCTGGCTGAACAAATCCCAGCCAAGGTCTACGGGCCATGCAAGGTTCTTTACTCATTCCTTCAAAAGCTTTTCTGTCATTACAGACTTAGCTTCTGAATGTGTCCAGATGCATGAATGTACCAGATCTCTCCTGTCCAGCTTTGAAGCTTGCTGGAGCAGCAGCTTGTTTTTATAGACATGTAATGCAATTACTATGGCAATGGTTAAACTGGAGTAATAAACATGACACTTCTGTGTTCATAGATACCCCCTGGTATTCAGCCAGACCAGAGAATTCGAATGAGTGGGAAAGGCATTCCCAAGGTTAACAGTTATGGCTACGGAGACCACTACATTCACATAAAGATAAAAGTTCCTCAGTAAGTAGAGCTAATACAAGTTTCTGTGAAGTCTTGAACTATTTGCAAAACAAAAAACAAACAAAAACCCAAAATATTGCCCAGAAAGATTTTGTCAAAATTCCTGCTTTGCCAAGGTTCTTAATTTCTCTCTGCTGTGAATTCTAATGTGAGGTAGACTTTGAGGGGTTTTTAATACTACCATTTGGCAATCCATCTCTAAAAATCTTGCACCCTGGAAATGCAGAATTACACCCTTGGCTCCTGGGGTGAAGGAAACAGTTCACCTTCTGTTGCTGCACTTGGAGCTCATTCCTGAGGCCTCCCCACCAGGTGTGTGTTCTGCTGCAGCTCCACTTCTCAGCATTTGGGTATACTTTTGATTTTTTCACTGTAGTTTATTGAAAGGCAGTGGGTCATCTCTCCTCTTCCACTCTTATTCTGTCTAGATCATTAAGAGCTCTGTAGGGATTCTCAGTGTATGTCAGGTATATTCCACTTGTACTTCCAGTAGCTGCCCCTCATGTGTGCTGCTGGAGAAGGTTAAGAAGAGCTGTAGATACATTTGTCCCTAAAGACAGCCATAACCATTCTGTGTTGGACCTGCAGGAGGCTGACAGATCGCCAGCGAGCCTTAATGATGAGCTACGCCGAGGATGAGGCAGATGTGGAGGGCACAGTGAACGGGGTCACAAACACAGCGTCAGGTGAGCAGTGCCAGTTGGTGCTTCTCCTTGAGGAGCTGGTGTGGGAGTGCAGAGTGCTTCTGGAGGGTTCCTGGGGAGGAAGGCGAGTCAGGGTAACCTTGAGACTGCATCAGCACAAACAGCTGAGCACATTACTTTGGAAATGGTTTCAGTTTGCTGTAATGCAAAACAAGGAGATTCCCTCTTCCCAGAAAGCGTTACTCAAATACTTCCTGGACAAATCTGTGGCTGAAGAGAGACACAGATTGAGATACTCCAGGGTCCTGATGAGTTGTGGAGTCTCACTGCGGTGATGATTGCCTGCTTTGGCTCCTGGGCCAGAAGTAACTTATCTTAGTAGCACAGGTAGGAAAAGAGAATGTGCTTCAGGACAGTCTTCTGTGTGAGCTAATCCATTGTGCTTCTGACTCAGCAGGGATGTTTCCCCTTGAAAGCCAAAGGTGCTATCCAGGCTGCTCCAAGCCACACTTAAGCCACATGGGGGACAGTAGGGTAGAAATGTTCATTGGTGCTGAGTATTGGCTCCAGTCAGTAGACAGGGTCTAGCATGATGAAAGGGAGCAAAGTCATCTGGGAGCATTGTGAAGCTGCTTTCATCTCAGATTAAAAGTTTTGGTGCAGCCATTGTGTTTTGAATGTCAGGGGTGAGATACCTGGCATTTGTAGCAGCTAAAGACAAAATGTAAAATAGTAAGACAAGAGCTGTGTCTTTCATTACTGGAAAGCACTTTTTTCTTTGCTCATATTGGAACAGTGAACTTTAGAAAGTCCATTTGATTTCTTTCTGTGCTTCAAACCAAAAAGGGTATTTATGACTGCGTAAAGGCACAGGCCCTTCAGGAGCTGCCAGATGATCCCAGGAACATGGGTCCTCTCTACTGCATGTGCCAAAGCCTGAGAACTAAAGGCTGAAGTTCAGGACATTAGAAGGCAGTATCTGCTAAATACTGATGTGATGTTTCATAGTGCTTTCATAACAAGAAGTTAGGTCTTTTCTACCGGGGGTAAGCATTAAAGGTCAGCCCGGGGGGGTGGGAGGCAAGATATCTCCAAGCACAACACTTTCATTCCAGCTTTTTAAAGGCATTTACATGCCAAAGGGGTGGGAAAATGCTCTCCAGATTTGTTTTTTGAACAGCAAACCTGCCAGTTTTTACCACAACTAAGCAGCAAGGTGGATTAAAAACACTGCCAGTAGTTTGTGGTACAGAGACAGGCTGGTGCTGAAAGCATGTTCTTGCTCTAGGCAACAGAAATACCCCGAGTGGATGGATGGAGGCGTGTTCTGCCACCAGCCTCAGCATTTCATAGCATTGCATCAGTTGGAGCTCTGCAGTCAGCTGTGGGAGGATGGAGAGGATTGGACTTTGTATTCTCTGTGCACAAAGAAAGATTGAGGAGGATTTAGGGGTCTTGTTATTGACGGTTTTGCCACAGCAAAAGCAGATTAGCCAAGAGGTCTCCTTTCTTCTTGCTATGGACACTTCTCAAGGGACAAACAATTTCTTGAGACCTGTTTATTCAGGAAAATTATGTTCACCACTGCTGGGAAGATTCCTTATCCAGACACTTGATTTGAAATACTTGTAGCCTTTTTCACTCTAGCCCAAGTTAATTTTCTCCTTGTTTGTCAGAGCATTGCTTGTTATTACATGAAGCAGGTTCCCTGTATGGTTTGGCAGTGCCTTGCTCTCAAGGGTCACAACACAACCATGAAACAGGAAGAGAGATTGTTCCAGGAACTGCCAGTACATCTTTTCTTCCCTGTAAAGTGATGGCTGGCTGTGGACAAGTTAACAACCTGGTTTTAATGGCAGACTCAATTCCAAGTGCTCATTTCTAAAGCCTGTGAGGTCCCTGACTTGATAGTGCAGCAGAATTCCCTCAACAGTTGGAAGGCTGGGGAGAGGGCAAGGGAACACTGTTACCTGGGCTCACAGTCATCTTTTCCACTTCTTGAGGTCCAGGCTGTTCAGCACTTTCACTCCTGCTGCAGCCCTGTACTCGAGGACACGGCTGCCTTGACTTAACCATTCCCTGTTCAGAATAACCCTCTTGCTTTGTCCTGAGTGCTGGCTGCTGGTGGGAGATGTATCTGACTGCAGCCCTTTGCTGTTTGTGTCCAGGTGGCAGGGCCACGGCTAGCGCTGACGCAGGCGGGGATAGGCCTGAGGCTGAGGAGAACAAGGAGGGATTCCTTTCCAAACTTAAGAAAATGTTTAGCTCCTGACACCCCATCTGAGGTAGGAGGCCTCTTGTGTTTTATTGTCGTCTTCCACCACCACCATTAAGCAGAACTTGCACTTCTTGGGAGATAGAAGCAACAAAAGCACAGCATTGCTTCTCACTTAGCCTCAGGCCTTCCAGCCACTTGTGTGAAAAGCCCTAGCTGACCCCTGGGACCTGGAGCAAAAAGCCAGGGACTAAAGCACATTGCTGCTGCAGCAAAAATGGTGGGTGCATCTTCAGGGAGGCTGCTGGCCTCCCCTGGAGCTCTGCGTCCTCATCCACTCAGTAGCTGTACTCAGTTCAAAGTACTGAGGGTGTTCCTGTTAGCTAAAATGGGCTGTTCTGTCACTGCAGAGCCCAAGCTTGCTGGCAGTTGCAGGGGTCTTGCAGAGCCTTTGGTGCTGGAGTGCTTGGGCTGGACTCCCCCCACCACAGGCTTACAGCACAAGTCTTTGTCACAAAGCATGTTCAAGCTCCCGCCACACAGATGAGTACAGCGTTACATGTCAGGGTGCCAGTTAGTTGGTGTTGGCCTGCTGTGAAGGAGCACTGCACACTTGGAATCATTCTTGACAGACACCAGTGTCTTGGATTCCAGGGGCTCAGCTTCCTGGCACTGCAGGCTTCAAATGTGTCTGCTATGTGTGGTGACAGCAGGATGGGTCAGGCGGGAGGTATGGTCACAACGTGGGCTGCAGGGGCTGATGTGCTCAGGAAACCCTGAACTTCTCTCTTGCTTCAACCACAGGGAAGCGTTCTACTGGAAGCTAAGAGCCAGCAGCAAATCATCTTTGCAGTTGGGGATGAGTCCTTCTGGCAGCGGGCTCTGGAGAGCAAAGGGTGTCAGCGGCACAGTGAGAATCCCAGCTGGAGAGGTGACACACCACTGAGGCACCAACAGCCATTGTGATAGAAATCCCACCCACCATCCCAGGACATGGTAATGAAGGAAAATACCACCTTTGCAGAAATGCAGTGCTCTCTAGGAGGTTGCTCCACAGTCCCCACTGCTGCTGGAAGCCTGTCTGGTAAAAATTAACATTGAAATATTATTTAGAATCCAAACTGGTGGAAATGTGAAATAAAAATTGTGTCCTTCCTGCAGAGAGCAGAGCAGTTTGCTGTAGGGAGCCCTGAATGGCTGCTGCTCACTCAGGTGCACTGCTGAATGCTCCACTTGTTTGGAGAGCTTAGTGCTACTTCTCCCAGGAGACTTGGTGGGTCGGCAAGGTTTAATCCTGTCTTCATGACAGCCCTGCTCCTTGTCTCACACAGTTCTCGGAGCAGGATATCCCTGGGGCTGGTCGGAGCTCTGCTGCCCTGACTCCCTTAGCAGCTGGGGGGAGGGAGGGGGGGGTTGACCTGCTGATTTCCTGGACAAAGAGTGGGGACGGAATCTGCCCTTTGCCTCAAGTTCCCTCCCTCAGTAACTAAAGTACTACACAACCGCTGTCACTTCTGAAGGGGTGCGAGTTTATCGCTGAGCCCTTTGCCAGTTTGGGACAAAGTCTTTTATTACATTAGCACAACCCCCATAACGTAAATGATTGGTCAAAGAGTCGTTGTTCCTACGTGTGTGAATGCAAGTGAAGTGGATCGCTCCTTCCAGGTGGTGGAGCTCCCGCAGTGAGTGTTTTCATGGTTGCTGTAGCTCGCTGTTGTTAGTTACACCCTGCAGCTACCACCAGCCCACATACTAATTGACCACTTAAACAAGGACATGTCATAGTCTTGCCCATCTTAATTTGCTGAAATAAAGCACGCGTTGCCTCCTGATTAAAGTGTCTGTAAAGCGATTCTGTATCCATGTAAATAAGATTGACTTCATAAAGATATTTAACACCTTTTGTGCCTTGCTGCCTTGTCTGCTCATCCAACCTTGTCTTCACCCCCTTCCCTCTGCCAGGAACAGGAAAGAAGGTCTCCTCCTGAACAGGAGTAGGGCTCAGTGTCCTGACCTCTCTCTGGTTGTTGTTACTGACCGTAAGCACAAGCAAAGACTGCCAAGGCCAGATTTCTAATCGAGCAATACCTTAAGTATGGCCGGGGGGAAGGGGAGGATGGTCAAAATTGCTTTTTTAGCGAGTCTTAAGTCCCAGAGTTGGAGAATGTTTTACTTAACTCATGGAGGCTCTAGGAGCCCAAAGGCCAGGCCAGAGCTGGGAGCTGTTCTGCTGCTGACAGACAGGTACACCACACAGTGACCACACACAGGTCATTAAACAAGCACACTAAAGCCAATAAGCACTCTAAAAGTAAACACACTAATGTGAACTAGGTAAATATCTCTGTATAGTGAATAAGTACAATAAGGCAAATCAGAGATATAGGTATATAAGTAAAGTACCAAAGAAAGTTAGCAATACATTAAATCATTACTGTATAGAGAGAACAGAGATTAAGAAGAAACATATTACCAATTACCACTGAATCATCATGCAGGCCTACACTTCCAGCTGGGAAACCCCTCTGCAGCCAATGCCAGGAGTCTCAGGTAACTGGGAAAAGTTCTGCACAGTGCATCCACCCATAGGTGAGGCTTCTCTCATGGCCACAAAAGGGTCCCACTTTTATATCCTTAGAGAAACAACCAGCTTTAGGCCAGATCTCATTGTTTACTCATGGGACCGTGCAGTTTCTTGTGATCTCACCATTGTCCACTCTTGAGTGTTGGCCAGGCACCCCAGTGCAGACAAGTATGAAGGTCATAGAGCAGCTGCACACCTAGGTTTTCCTGTCTCTTTCCAACAGTCACAATGAGCACAAACATATATACCCTGCCAAATACAGTGGCAAACAACATCCTTTGTTACGTCTCTCAGTCATGAATGGGGATCAACTCCCAGCTAGGTTCCCATCCATTACAGCTGTCTGGCTGGAGGAGTTGGGCTCAGCTGACATTACCTGGTACAGGATGTCACTGGGCATTCCCCCTTCCAGGGCAGTGCTCTGCCTGGCCAGGTGTGCTGCACTGCCTGAGCCTGCTCTATGGAGAAACAAACCCCAGTGTTTGCCTCCTGGGGAAGAGGGTGATCCTCGGAAAAGAGCTGCCAACACCACCTTACCACAGTGAAAGTGACCGGAGTCACTGAACAACCGCCCCCCAAAGGCAGCGTGCAGCTGCAGCACTTCTTACCTGCCTGTGGCTGCAGAGCCTGTCCTCTTGTCCCAGGTACGCTGGTCTGAACAGTCCTGTGGTTTAAACCCAGACAGCAACCCAGCACCAGCAGCCACTCGCTCACCCCCATGTGCCCCCTCCCTGCGTGAGATGGGGAGGAGAATCAAAAATGTAAAACCTGCAGGTTGAGGTAAGAACATTTCAATAATGAAAGTACAATGTAACACAAGGAGAGAGGTACAAATCTAAAGGGGGAAAGACAAAAATACCTCCCCAGATGTAACTTGTACTTATAACATGGATAACACACCACAGAGTAACTTTGAACCCAGGAGAATTACATGACTGCAGGCAGTGAAGGCCTGGCTCAGTCCTAGGAAGGCTCTGTGGAGCCAGGAGTCCCACTCCTGCTACTCTGACTCCTGGGCTGTGCTCTCTGGCTGCAATGAACAAGGAACACATTCTGGCTTTGCAAGGCCTGGGAACTGGTTTGTTTGTGATTGGGACTTTTCTGGACTGGCCACTTGGACCACGAGGGCTGGGAAGGCTGCACCAAGAGCTGTCCCATGACTCCCACCCTGATGCCATGCGGCTGCCCCTTGGCCCCTTGACCCCAGGCCATTCACATGTGGTCCCAGTTAAAGCAAGCCCTGGTACCTGTGTGGTTTCCTTCTCTTTGCTGCAGTGCTCCCAGCAGTTGGTCACTCCATAACACCTGCCAAGGTCAGCTCCAGTGACATCATCCTGATCTGCCTTCACAACCTCAGCTTCCCTCTGCATTAGTTCCTCAGCCTCCTTCATGGTGCTCCATGTCACCATGCAGACCATGAAGGTCCCATCTTCTGTCAGAGCCCAGGCCACACGTAGCCTGAGCCCCTGTAGGTGCAAACCTGTTTAGAGCCCTGGCTGCCCACAGGGTGCTGATAAAGGAAGCTGGGGTAAGCCGGGGCTATGTGGTGGAGCTGCTGGATCCCACACTCTCTCCGTGAAACAAGCACCAAATCCTTTCAACCCATCCTCGGGCCAGTACCACCGCCTGCTCCCTGTGCTGCTGCTCCAGCTGGGCAGGTGCTTCCCAGCCCCTGTTGCTGCAGGGGTCCAAGCACTTGTTCCCCACTGCAGCAGGACTGGAAGCTGTGGCACAGGCACGGGTCAACTTGCCTTGGTTTGAATCAGCTCGGCTGGACCTGACTGCTGTGGCAGGGGTGTTGTGGGTCCTCCAGTAACGGGATTCCTGGCTGTGACCCTGCCCCTCTGGAGATGGATCCCCAAGGAAATGGCTTCTTGTGAGGCTGAGCTCCAGGACTGGTCCCAGATGACCCTCTGGCCACGTGGGAAATCTGGGGTTGGATCAGCAGCCCAGGTAACACATGACAGATGTGTGATACACAGCTGCAAAGAAGTAACTGGGGTGTGTTAATTAACATAAATGAGTAATTGTGAAAGCAGCAGGTACAGCCCTGACTGGGGCCTCTGCACAGTCATTTCTGCTGTGAGGGATCTTGCGCTACAGCTTACCAAGAAGGGGGAGAGCTGATGGGACATCCCAGATGTCTCCTCCTGAAACACACCTCCCTACAGGGCAGGAGATGACCACAGACCAGATGACTGGGAAAGGTTTTAACCCCTGTGCAGGTGCAGCCCTGGGACTGGCAGGGAGCATGGCTCACGCCTGGAGCAATCCCTGGGCCCAGCCCAGAGTGGCGGCTGGAGTCGAGACTGCTGCTTGCGCACCCTGACCCACACCAGCTCTCCACCATCAGCTGTCATTGCCTACACTACCATCTCATCTCTGCCATCACAGATTGGGTTAGGTTGGAAGGGACGTTAAAGTTCACCCAGTTCCAAACCCCTGCCACAGGCAGGGACACCTCCCACTAGATCATCTCTGCCATTGCCTCATCTCCACCATCTCCATCATCCCCTCTACCATCATCGCATCTCCACCATCAGCCATCGACCACCTCTCAGCTAGATTTGATGAAGGGAAAGATGTGTAATTACAGTTTTAGATGCAGCTTAGGGCTACCTTCTAGACATAGCTAGACCCCACCAGAGCAGGTTTCCCAACAGGATATGCTATTTTCATCTGTTTTCATCACTTTGCTCTTACTCTCCCAAACCACCCCAGCAGCAGGTGCTTTTGGCCCAACAAGCAAGTCACTGGACATAAAGCAGGCAGCAACCCCAACCATGGTGTGTGATTATCCCATTATTCCCACAGGATGTGCTCCTCTGCCCTGTTCCTTGGGCACTGCCACTCTGCCCCAGGACACAGGGAAAGCAGAGCTGCACACCGTGGGTCGCAGTGCTGCTGTGCCACCCTGCCCACCCGCCTCCAGCTCAGCACCTCAGAACCAGTAGGATTTGCCTAAATGTCAGCAAAACCTGGGTTAGGATTTACAGAGGAAGGGGTTTGTAGAACACAAGTGCAAACTACTGGTCAACACCACTTGCCTGAGCAGAGCTGGGGAGTGGAGATCCCGCTGGTCCCAGTGGTGTGGTGGCTCCGGCTCCTCAGGTGGGACACAGTGGTCCTTTGTGTGATGTGATCCATCTCCTCAGAATAAACTCCTAATTCGAGAAGGAATTCAGCACTAGCAGAACAATGACTCTGGAGGAAGGGAAGTTTACTCCCAGCCTTTTATTCTGCTCTTTCAAGGTACAACTTGAATTTACTTGTGGAAATGTTTCCATGCATGGCCCAGTGAAGGGCAGAGCTGATGCAACACCAGCCCCTTGCATGGCACTGGCCATGAGGGGGTTATGTAGCAAAACCCTCTGCTCTCCCAGAGCTCCTGCTTTCTGTTCAAGGGAATTCGTTGTAATCTGGATCCTGTTGAGCCTGATGCTGGGGCTCTCTTTGGAGAAAGCAGCTGTGGCTGGGAAGTGGCCATGCACAGAGCACCCCAGCAGGACAGACCCCAGGGGTCAGAGAGATACAGGCAGTTCCTGTGCTGCTGCTTTTCAGGAGGTAGGTAGCTGCATTGATTTGCATAGGCAGCAGCGCTGTGCTGACAGGAAGGAAGGCTGAGTGAGACCCACAGTGCAGGAAGGGGCGAGGAGCAAACTGAAAAAGAGCAAAAGCCACCAGGCTGAACCGCAGCCGGTGGTGCGTGTCTGGGGAAGCCGGACCCACCTTCCCCTGGTGCTGCCCTGAACACCACCCTGGCCACCAGGTCCCATCACATCCACAGGTCCCACAGGGCAGGAGCCACCAGCCGGAGGGGTCCATTTTCTACCTTGAACTTGAGCATCCAGGCAAGGAGGAGGCAAAGCTCTGCAGATAAAGGGCTGAGCAGTGGCACGGAGGGGCTGCATTCTCCCACCGTGCTGAGGATGCCTTCTCTGCTCTCCTGCTCCCACACAGACCTGGGGGAGGCAGCACAAGGCCGAGGTAAGGTTGTGGTGGGGCTTTGGAGGGATACGGCGAGAAGGGGAGGTGTCGCTCTGGCCTCCTATGTGGGCACAAGCGGCTGCAGACCTCTTGCTGTGATGGCCATGTGAAATGGAGCCACTGAGCTAACGTGGCACGGCCAGGAGCTGTTGGGCAAAGGTCCCTGGAATAGGCAAGATGTGGCCCCTTTTAAGAACTGAAAGGCTGCAAGAAGTCTTCTCCAGGCTGAACAACCCCAGCTCTCTCAGCCTTTTCCCACAGGAGAGGTGCTCCAGCCCTCTCATCATTCATTCCTGTGGCTCTCCTCTGGACTTGCTCCAACAGCTCTGT